ATATCCATATGTACTGGGTACATATGTTCGCTTGTGTGTGTATATCTAGAGTGTACAAAGCGTATTTGAGTATGTGACAGGGTTGACGTGATATACATATGTACACTTGCTCATACATACCAATATGTATGTACGTACATACATAATAACTTGCCTTCTAATATGGCCACGCGCATTTCTCTAAGCCCCCACAACAACACGCCGACACACACACACACACACACATGCATATATATGTACCACTTTGAAAATCGCACCTCTCTGTTGATCGTGTAAGCACAATAAAATAATAAACAAAATAACAACAGCAACAACGCCAAAATCACTCGCGCAGCAGGTAAAGCAACGGCAAACGTTCCCGATTAGTCGCAGGCCTGTTTGAGTGAAAACGAAGCCGACCAACCGTAAAGGCCCGCGAGTCGTCGTTGCTTGTGCTCAAGCCTGGTTTTGAGCGAGCAGCTCAGAAAACACACAAGCAAACACAGACGCTCACACATCTACATACACATGCATATGCACTAACATTAGCGCACCAGCATGCACTACATGCACACAATGCGAAGCAGTTCTCGCTCAACAAGCTGCTTTTTGGCACACATACAATAGCGAATGGCGCACACACACATGCCTGCGTAAGTATGTATGTTATGTATGCAAGTATGTACAGAGCGAGAGAAGCTAGTGAAGAGCGCGGCTTCGACTTGCTTCCGCCGACCATTCACATTCACATTCAACAGCCAAACAGTTTCGCCTAAGAACTCTTTGAGCTCGGTCTACCGATCCACCTGGCAGGTACAAGGCGCGATCGCTGGTTGCCAATAGCAAGTGAAATAAACGCAACTCTTTCTGCTTCTTCTTCTACTACTATCAATACTTTATCGTTTAGAATAATGTGAATAATATGTATATCTAAATATATGAGTAAATTTATCCACTGATCAGTGAATAATGTTGGATAAGAAAACGAACTTCAATGAAAATTAAAAAAACAGTGAGTGAGCTGTGTGTTTCCCGATGTGTTTTTGGTGAAACTACTTAACAAAAACCAAATAATAAAAGTTTAATCTATGAAAATAAATTATTGAGTTGTTTGCGCAGAATTTTCGGTAGGTTCCTTCCGACGCGAACAGATCTATGTAAACTTAAACGTAAACATATATGGGTACAGTCGCTACCTAAAATTGTCATTAAATGAGTTATAGACATTTTGATTGAAATACTGCTTAAGACCAAACGCAAGTTTTCTACTGGACTAGATACAGTGTACGACAATATTATACATACACCTTCTCAAGTCAATCATCTGGAGATATGTGCCATGTTTTTGTATTTCTCTTTACTATATAGTTCATATACTCAATATATGCCGTATACAAACATATAAAGAAGTAGGATGCCCGACTGGTTGAGCTTCAGTCCAGGCCGAAAGTTTTGCTATGCTATTTGTAGTACCCCAAAATGGAGTCAGTTCTCCTTCTTCTGATTTCCTCCTGCTGCACAGTTCTTAAAAGGTGTATGCAAACATTCATTTACCAGTGTATGTGTGCATGTGTGTGTGTGCGTGTGCGTGTGTGCGTGTGTGTGTTGTAGATGTATCTGCATTAACATAACGACGAGCTTTCTGCAAAATTTACCCACGCTAGTGACCTTGAGCTTGTTTTTCCCGTTTCTTAGTGAAGTTTATATATATGTACATTATATATGTGTCTGTATGTATATCTGGTGTTGCGCTAGGTCGTCGTCATCTTCAGTGTCGCCATTATTCAACGCTAGTCGTGTGAAAAACGCTTCTTTTTTCCCACTTTTATTTTCAAAAACTGAATGTATTACGTGGTTAAAATGTGATCTAAGAAAGGCAAAGCCAGAGAGAGAGAGAGAGAGAGAGAGGGAGAAAGAGAGATAGATAGACAGAGAGAGAGCTCTCTCTCTACATGTAAGGTCCTAGCTAGACCATAGTTATTTGAGTCTTTGAATATGTGTTTGATCTGTCCATTTCTTCCTTGTGTTTCAGCCTCTGATTAAGAGGTATCAAATCTTCAGGTAATCCCTAGACCTTATCTGGAATCTTTCCAATAGCTACGGCTATGTGGTATTAGGCCTTGGGTACTATATCGTCTAGTCGAGCCTGAGATATTTCACTGGCGTTCACTTTCGAGTAACTCATTTGTACTTGAACTATGTAAATGGTCTTGAGCTGGAAGTTTGTTAGCTTTGTTTCTAGCTTTTCTGTATTTTCCCGCCACATCTAGCCACAGCCGGCAAGTCGTGCCTACAATAGAGAAGTTTCTGCGTGGCTCACGGCTAAATTCTTCATGCAGATATCTCGTCTTGAAGTTCAAGTCAGAATTTCAGTTAGAAGAAGCAAATTTGGAGTGGAAAAGGAAGAATAAGAGGTTGGCAGATGGATATTAAATTATGCAGGGTAACATTATTTCGTAGCTCATAGGGAACAGATGGTTTCCCGATGGTTTCCTATATGTGAAAATGATAGAAATATATTTAACTACATAGACCCCGAACCCCGAACCCCGAACCCCGAACCCCGAACCCCAAACCCCGCACCCCGCACCCCGATCATCGTACCCTTAGCACCAGACACCAAACACGGATGATGATGACAAATGTAACATGCACATGCACTTGCTCTGACCCTAGAAAAGGGCGAGTCCCAAAAAGGTCAATTAACAAACAACAGGTGACTGAGAAGAGCGTGCGCGCGCCTATTCCAAAGGCACTTGCATAGCTCGTGCTTGCACGACGGGACGAACCGGCTGCAATGAAATGAGCGCGACAATTTTTATACCTTTACATTGTTGCATACAAAAGAGTGAGGAAAGAGAGAGAGAGAGAGAGAGTGAGAGAGAGAGAGGGGCGGGGGGGGAGCGAGTAAAATAGAGATAGGGATATAGATATATAGAGACAGAGAAAGAGAGAGGAATAGAGACAGAGACATAGACAGAGAGAGAGAGAGAGAGAGAGAAAGCGGAAGAGAGAGAGAAAAGTTAGAGAGGTTGATAAGCAGAGATAGACAGAGAACTTAAGGAAAAGAGAGAAAGTTAGAGAGGTGAAGACAGTGACAGAAAAGGAGAAAGAAGAGGGGGGGAGCAAAAATAGCTGAAGGGGGACAGGGAGAGGAGAAAACGATTAATTTCACAGAGAGAAAACGAGAGAGAGAGAGAGAGAGAGAGAGAGAGAACAAGTAAGAGATAGTGAATTTTGTTGCTCGAAATCAATATCCTGTGCAAGGTACCTGTATCTATATGTCTGTACATTTGTATATATATATATATATATATATATATATATATATATATATATATATATATATATGTATATATATATATGTATATATATGTATATATATATATCTGCTGTTATTGAGGATGCATTTGGGGTTTTCGTTTCGTCTTGCTAAACTACAATTTGGTTTTTGTGGCTTCTGGTTACGCTGGCAGCAATCATCATTAATATTATCATTATGATCAACATCATTAGATTGTGCTGCAGCATCCTCGTCGCCTGCTTCGCTTTTCTTTCATTTTATTCGCTGTAAGCTAAATCTGCTGTCTGCTGTCTGCTGTCTGCTTTCTGCTTTCTGCTGTTGCTACTGCTGCTGTTAATGCTGCTGCTGCTGCTGCTGCTGCCCCAGCTACTGATTGCCGCATTTTAATGTTAGTTCAAGTTCGATAGAAATGGGTATATTAGTTTCGCTGCCCTCTCAGGCAAATATATACATATATACATATATATATATATACATATATAGGTATATATTTTGAGCCAGCCTACGTGAGGATTCCTGGTTAAGCTGTTCCATTTGGGTATTTTTCGATGTACACATGTATATGTGTATATATGCATATATATCACAATTTCAGAGTCTGTAGCGCCTCCTCTTATATCAGATATGGGCATATCGGTTTTCGAGTGTAATGAAGTCCTGGTATTTGATTTATGGGATTATTTATAACCGATTGATATCGTTAAATGCTAACCGCAGCATAGGGTATCTGTCAGTGGTGCCCCGCAGCTGGAGCATTCCTAAGCGTCAGGCTGCAACATTTGTGCTCGGTTTGCCGCTCTTTCGCTGCTTACTACAATACTTGTTCCATCCGTCCGTCCAGCTGACTGTCCTGCCGCCTGCCAGTCCGTCCGTCCGTCCGTCCGTCCGTCCGTCCGTCTATCTGCCCGCCTTGGCTTATATCAGCTTGTTTTTGTTTCGAGTTCGTGGCTGTTGATCATGGGCATTGAACTGTTCTATCAGCACGTTTCTAAGCATCTCTATCGCCAGTTGCTGGAGCTGCCAGAACGCTGTAAGTAGAGCACACTTTTGTCTAGTTAGCTATAATTATGAATATATATATATACAACTCGCGGTCTCTGTGAACCCAACATCTACAGATAGCACAAGCCTTTACTCGAAGTGCAGAACTTAGAAGATGCTAAGATATCCAACACTTCGCATCTCCTCAGCTGCCTTTCGCTACACAGAAGCGATCTGTGCTGTCAATTTAGCCTTTTTTCGGCCAACTAAAATACGTATGAATCGACTTCGGCAATCACTTCTGAGTCAGCCAGAATCCTGAAACTGAAAATATATATTTTTACTATGAGTATCTGCTAGTCATGTGCTCCACAACTAGGCCAGTCAAACAGGTTGAGGCTGAGGTAAAGGGAGAGTTACTGATGCCGAAACGTTTCTTCGTTCGCTCTTTCAGGTATTAATGATATGCTTATAATGGAAATGCAGACGTCTCCACATCTTAGCCATGGGCTAGCGACACTCTCGCCAGTCCAAGTACACCAGCATCCGCATCAACATCAGCATCTGCATCAGCATCCGCATCAGCATCAGCATCAGCATCAGCATCAGCATACGCACCAGCACCATATTATCCAATCTCAATCACAAACACAGCCCCTGTCGCTGTGCAGCAGCCAGCAACAGCAACAGCAGCAGCAGCAGCAGCAGCAGCAGCAGCAGCATCAGCAACAGCAGCAACTTCATCTGCCCCAGCAGATGAGCAGCGCGTCATCAACTCTGCACGCACTTCAAAGCTCTGCGGCAGGTGAGCAGCACAGCACAACCCATCAACATCACCAAATATATACCTCAACGCAATTGGATGACAAGTCTAAAGGTTAGTTCAAAAGCAAAAGGGAGCAGCCACTCGGAAGCTCGACTAGCTCATACCCTGCACTCACCCATACACACACACACACAGACACACATGTGAATAACATATATGTATGTTATTAATAGAGAATATAGAGAATAGGGAATAATAGAGAATAGAGAATAGAGAATAGAGAATAGAGAATAGAGAATAGAGAATAGAGAATAGAGAATAGAGAATAGAGAATAGAGAATAGAGAATAGAGAATAGAGAATAGAGAATAGAGAATAGAGAATAGAGAATAGAGAATAGAGAATAGAGAATAGAGAATAGAGAATAGAGAATAGAGAATAGAGAATAGAGAATAGAGAATAGAGAATAGAGAATAGAGAATAGAGAATAGAGAATAGAGTAGAGAATAGAGAATAGAGAATAGAGAATAGAGAATAGAGAATAGAGAATAGAGAATAGAGAATAGAGAATAGAGAATAGAGAATAGAGAATAGAGAATAGAGAATAGAGAATAGAGAATAGAGAATAGAGAATAGAGAATAGAGAATAGAGAATAGAGAATAGAGAATAGAGAATAGAGAATAGAGAATAGAGAATAGAGAATAGAGAATAGAGAATAGAGAATAGAGAATAGAGAATAGAGAATAGAATAGAGAATAGAGAATAGAGAATAGAGAATAGAGAATAGAGAATAGAGAATAGAGAATAGAGAATAGAGAATAGAGAATAGAGAATAGAGAATAGAGAATAGAGAATAGAGAATAGAGAATAGAGAATAGAGAATAGAGAATAGAGAATAGAGAATAGAGAATAGAGAAGAGGAATGAGAAAATAAAGAAATGCGAGAGATGAGCCATGAGACATAAGAAACAAAGCAGAGGACGATAACGATAACGATAACGATAACGATAACAATAACAATGACGTTAACAAGAAGAGAAAAAGGAGTAAGGAGTACAAAAGACCTGAAGATGTATTGAACATCCCCAACATAAATTCCTTAATGAAATCTAAGCTGCTCCCGAAATGAATAACTCGATGTGATTTTAATAGATTCAATAGGTCTGTGTGCCTGTGTATCTTTTTGTGTGTTTATACTAAACGATTCGATTCGATTCGATTCGATTCGAGCCAAACAAAAGATAGCATTTACATTTCAAAGTTTCGAAATACTGGCAAAAAGGAGAGAAGAGGAAATGGGAGAGGCAAGCAGGCGGGAAGCTGGCTCTAGTCGGGCGCTACCGACTGCCTAGTGCTCGTTGACCCGCCCCCGAGTCAGCTCCGCTGGTACAAAGATCGATATTGTCAATGCAGTGAGAGGCGTCGACACAGCACTCAGCAGTAGAATAACTAAGAGATTATGTTGCCAGCTTTGAAGCCAAGCCATATATACTCGCCTTTCGCTAAGTGAACGGGTATACAAAATAGCAGGAACATATAGAGAGAGGCTGAAGGAATTCGAGTAAGAATATTGTTCAAGAACAATAGCCTAAGCTCGCGCTGAGACAGGAGTAATGGGAGGAGGACGCGCTCGTCCGAAAGACAAGTGTTCCTGGCTTTAAAGAGTAGAACACATACAGCCATAGACACATTGTTCTCCTGTTGTTGTTGTGCTGTCGTTTGGTCTAGGAATTAAATGAAAAACAAAAAAAAAACAAAACAAAACAAAGAAGTTAGTCACGGATTGCGCAATAAAAATTGCAACTTGCATGCGCTGTGGATCGACTGGAAGATAGGAAAAGTAGAAGAGTGGAAGAGTGGAAGACGAAGACTGGAAGACTGGAAGACTGGACGACTGGACGACTGCAGGGCATTCATAATTGAAACTATATCTTAATACAAATACCCTCACGCACTCCCGCCTAGAGCAGTCCTGTTTGCTTTCACATTAGCAGCAATATTACGTTTATCCATCCCGTTGCAGTGCAAAAGTATGATGAATACTCGAATGGCTTAGTGAGGGGACTGCCCACACCTGCCTTACAGGAATCGCCTCCCATTCTACCTGGAAACAGTTTTCTGACTCATTCGCAGGGAAATGTTGAATGGATGACAGCCATGAATGATGCTCAAAATACTGCAGGTAATTTAATACAGATACACAGATATATACACGGATATGTATTATATATTTTGTATTTATTTTTATGTGTGAGAAGTTGTTAAAGCGTACGCATTCCTGCCATACATCTAGTGCATTATCCCCGTTATACCCATTCCACATGCAATGCATTGGCAATATCTCCTAGTCGGGCACCCTGACTATATTTTCTTTGGTTACTCATGAATTTGCAATTTTATAAATATATGTAAATGTAAATATTTCCAAAGTTGTTTATTATATTTTTTAGGCAGGCTAAGTCGCTCTAGCCTCTAGTCCGATGTGTAAACACAGTATAAACTTATCGTTTTTTTCGAACTCATTCTGTTCTCTTATAGTCAGTAAAAGTCGGTAATTATTTTAAGCGTAGCTTGAATACCGTAAATGCTGAAGACTTCAGATAGTCTAAAATTAAAGCCAGCCACAATCAGATTCTCAGAGCCTAGCCAATGCAGCAGCCCAATCGCATGCAGTGCGTCAACTGCGCAGTAAGCAGAGCGTGAGTGTGTGTGTGTGTGTGTGCTTTACATATGCATAGAACGTATAGAAAAAGCGTGGCTTGACTAGAATATCGCCTGCTCGCAGGATTCTCTCTGTCTCTCTCAATTATAAATATATTAAATAGTGGAAAAGATAAATGGAATACTGTTAAGATAAAATTAAAGGAAATAGTTTCGATAAAATATTTATGACAATTTGTATTTTATTAATTTATATTAATTTACTTATTTATTAATTTATATGAAATAATAATTTGTGGATTTCCCTCTGCTTCTCTCTGCTCTTTGCATTTCAGAAGATTCGCACAGCTCGCAAGGCAGCATTTCAGGCGACGGTGAGTAAGGTAGTGATAGGTTCACAGGTGGGCTTGTCACCTGATACAGACGGGCACAAATGTATGGTATGTATGGCAAAAAGGTTCCCAGGCACACTTAAGTAGGCTATCGATTATCTCTGCGACAAATAGCCAAAGCTAGATGGACATTCGAAAGCTTCTGCGGCGTCAGTGCATTTGACTGAGCTGAGGTGAGGTAAGGCAAGGTGAGGTGAGCTGAGGGAACTGCTCAATCCCAGTTGTGGTTAGGCTCGAAATGTCTCAGATAACTTACGTGTTTAATTGAAAAAAACGCAGAGCTCAACCACAAAAGGCGTTTTTAGTTTCAACTTCAGCTCTAGATCTCTTGGATTATCTTTTCATTCCGAATCGAAATGCACTTTTCTCTCTAATCCTCTGTATTGGTATTGGATAATGAATATACACCTGTGGCTCTACCTACAGCTGTATCTGTGTCTGTACATCCGCCGGTTGTGGATTGCGGGCAATATCTTTGTTAGCCTTCACATGCCTATCAAGCAACCAGAGCCAGAGCCAGAGCCAGAGCCAGAGCCAGGCCAGAGACCAGCGACCTACTCACAGCTCCATGAGTATGCATTACAGTTTTCGACTTCGTGCAAAAAAAGAGTGAAAAGAGAACAAATAAACACATTCTACTATTGGCCACAATAAACAAAGTTAATAACCGCACGAATGCAAAACCCTTTACTCTTTGCTCTTTACTCTCGATTCTTCCACAGTCAAATTGAAAAGCCGCAAGATCCCAATTCCGGGTTTCTTCCTATTTGAAAAAACATCACAATGGATCAAATACTTTTCCTTCTGTTTTCCTGCTTCTGCCTACAACCACGTTTGGCCTATTTGAAGTCATTGGAAGTGAGAGAGATGTGAAAATGAATCTAACTGGAAGAGTCCATAAGGGTTTACCTATTCTTGGTCAGGATCAATGGACGAGTCGACTTGTCGGACGGACTGACTGAAATCTTTCTTGCCTGTGTGTTCCATACGCAGTTCACGTTTATCATATTTTTTAGATAACTCTCCAGGTTAAGTGTGGTATAGGCTGTCTTCTAGCTGGGCACTGTCGATGCTTGCGTGTTACTTGCAGTCAGGCACGAGACACGCCTCAATAGGCGTATTCCATGCAAAGAAGATCTAGGACTATCTATATCTGTAGTCATGTTTTCCTCTATATGTGATTGGATAGCAGTAATCAATTTACCTCTTAGGCGAGTTATGCAAATTATGTAATTGTACTTGTAATTGTAGCTGTAATTGCAATTCTGATTTAGATAGATAAGTCCCAGGGCGGAACGCAATTCGACTTTAATTGCAAAAGCAAAAGTCGAAAAGCGAAGGCGAAGGCGAAGGCGAAGGCGAAGGCGAAGGTAAAGGCAAAGCGCCATAATAATTAAACCAATTCCCCAGCGACGCTGCTTGAAAGTCAAAACATAAGTTGAAAGCGATTTGTCAAAACAAAATGAGCATAGATGTGCCGAGTCCTTCCGATTGGGGCGAAGCAGCAAGAACAACTGTGGATTATTTAATAACATTTGAACATACATTTGGGAATTCGCAACGAAATAACATCTGGCCAGCCTGGCCAGATCCGCACACATTGGCATTGTGCGTATGTGTGTGCGCATGCATGTGCACGAGCAATTAGATTGCCTCTAGTTTGAAGGGTCTTCAAAATATGCTTGAATATGGAAGCAAATGACATAAGATATGGAACGTTGCATCAGTTACATTACCTTCGGTAAATCTCTGGTGGGACATACTGATAGCAAGACGGAGTTTGCACATAACCAATATACTCTTTTCAATCGTGAGCGAGTATAAAAAGTAAGCTATGGGCTATATACACATATATATTGATTGTACAAATATATGTAGTCAAAAGCATGAGAGCAGACGAATCAAAAGCATACAGATGATCTAAATAATATTAAAATTTGAAGTTATTTATATTTCGAATATAAAACGGACAATTCCAATTACTTTCGACCTAACCTTAGATAACAGCATTATTTGATTCCTCGAAATAGAGGCTTAGCACTGTCAATTGATCTTCAATCAAGTAGTATTTTGCAAAGTGTTTTAATGGTACAACCCCATTGGAACTTCGATTTGTATACTCATACCCCAGTGGCATACCCCAAATAAAGGCTTGCAGCAAACTTAATAGCCCACCTTCTACGGGTTCAGCTGGCAATCGCAGCTTCCTTTCGCCCATGCAACGTATCATGGATTCTGTTAATCGCCTTTAAATCAGAAGTGCTGGGATCAGATCACGATTCGTAGGTGGTTCAATATTCAATTGTGAGGAATTCCAGCCTCCAGACTCTATGCTAACTATGCGTGAAGAGTTGAACACAGCGAGATTATGGGTCATCGGACACAAGTATGTATGTATAAACATATATACCGATTCAAGTATTACTGATTCAAGTTGCCGCACTTTGGTAGATATACACATTACGTGCATATCGAAATAACTGTGAATGAATGTAGGAGAAAGCCGATTGTTAATATATATGTCGTTGACATAATTACTTTGTCTTTATGTGACAACTTGATGTCATCATCATACATGCTCATAGAATACGAAAAGGCAATCATTTTTAGTATAGCGCGCAGCCCCCAAGCACACGCACAAACACACACACACACACACACACACACACACACACACACACACACACACACACAGATATATATACAATTACAAACAGAAACACAAACACAAACACAAACAAGCAATCACAACAAAAAAGCGTGAATGTTGTATGCACAAGCGAGATAGCACGATAAAGAAATACAGGGACAGAGAGCGGCAAATGCTTAAGTAGTAGAAACGAGAAACGACAACTGTCCGCTGTGATTGGTGCTGGGCCAATCTTGGTCTTGGTGCTGATTGGCGGGCATCGACTTCGTGCTTGCTGCGTTCTCCGCTCTCTCACTCACTCTTTCTCTCTCTTGCAGATGTGCTGTGGTGTGGTGTGCTGTGGTATGTTAGCGTGGGTCGCAAGCTCTTACTGCGTGCCAGTAACAGTACCTTCTCTCTATATAAATGTTGCTTAAATGCCAGGGCAAAGTACAAAGATAAAGGGCGCCAAAAAGAAACGTAAATGTCAATATTTAAATCTGATATCGATTGAAAACCCCTTTTATGAGGCTTCAAATATTTTATAAAATGCAGACACAATCGGAGCTATCAAAGTAAATAATATAATAATATGAATATTAGCTAACGCATCTTTGTTAGTCTATCCTTACTTCGGAACATATGAGAGACACTAAAAGTAGAATAAGAAACATGATACTGTATTATAACACAGACATTTACACACCCACACAGAGGCAGTCAGAGTCTGACCATAAGTCGTCGGCTTAGGCATTTAGCACCAATCCAAAAGAAGGCGAAACCAACTGCCCACCACAACTTTTGAAGCAACCCACCCACCCCCGCCGCCTTTAATAAACGCAGCAGCAACAGCACAGCACAGCACAGCACAGCACAGCAGCCGCAGTCGCAGTCGCAGTCGCAGTCGCAGTAGAAGCAACGGTAACATAATCCAGTATGCAGAGCCCAGTTGTAGAATAGGAAGCAAATAACGCTTTGCTCTGGTTGTGTCTCTCGGTTTTTGGTTCGTCTTCATTGGTTCGCTGCAGTGAGTCGGAGTCGGGCAGTCGTGAAGTATGCGCATGCCGATGTGGTTGGGCGGGTGCGGTGGCGAAACAAGGACCAAGGACACGCTCAGCACGCAGTACACACATATACACGCGCTGCAATCGCAGTCGCACAACACACTCACACAGTCGTACAGGCTTGCACACACATACACACGCACCCAGCACACAGATAAGAAACAAAACGTGCGCAGGATCTCAGCGACTGAACGCAAACAGTCCGGAAAAAATGGCTTGAAATATTTCACGGCACTAAAAACGAAACAAAAAAAGAAAAAACGCAAAATTTATAATAAGTAAAACAACAGCTACGACGACGACGACTACGGCGACGACGACGCAAAAATTTAGAGCACAAAAAAAGTAAAAGAAAAATGTTAAGAAGGAAATTGGCTCGGGGCTCGCTTTTATTTGAATGCCAGGCACAAAAATAGATACAAACACAGCAGCAAAGGCCACGCCACAAGCCGGAGTAGCGGATCGTGAAAATCGGATGATGTGAATACTAATTGTCATTATCGTTATCGCTATCGCCATCGCTATTGCTATCGTTGCCGTTATCCTGTTATTGCTCTGGTTATCGGCTAATCATTGGGCAACTCGCGTGTGTGCTTCTCCGAAAGAAATTTCTAGTGTTGTGCTTAAGTGAAATTTCTGTCTACATGTATATAAACAACTGATAACCCTTCGACACATCATCATTATCGTTATCACAGTCGAAGCCTAACGAGTCATCGATAGTAATCGCAACGGAAAAACATGGATCTCTCTACAGCCTATCGCTACAATCAAAACATGATGGAATATTACACATGTATATAAAATACAAAAGCAAAGAATATATATACATATATATATTATATATATATATATATAAACATATATAAAAATATATATATATGTGTGTATATACATATATTTATATATATATAAACAAATTCTAACAGGGATCTACCATTTCATATCTATCGACTGTGTAGGATGTGTATGTAGGATAAGGTGTAAGAGTCTATTGGAAAAATATAGATAACGCCTTGGTGCTATTTAAATAGGGCTATACGAAAGCCAGCCAGCCAGCTAGCCGTAAAATATTATAGTCTAATACTCTGATGTAACACTAAAGAGCAGCTCTCGTGGTTAGATCCGATCAAACAAACTGTATATTTACTTATTATGGTCAATATGGGGAGTGCCAGACTAGAAGATACCTTGAATCACTGCTTGGTCCTGGAGCAGGCGCCTAGAAGGTATCGTGATAGTCTCATAGAACTCATGGACAATACGCAGGATCCCAATTTAAGAGATACTAGCAGATGGAGGGAGGCAGGGGCGAAAGGTGTTGTACAATCATAATACAAGTTCTTTGTCGCCCAAAAATTTAATGGAATAGAAAATGACAGAAAGCAAAAATATTGAATAAAAGCAAATGTATAGACGTATAATAGAAACACCATGTTGAGAGACGAGGGTCAGAGTTTGTGTTTCCCTAACAGGACTATGTTTCCCCTTAGTGTCTCTCTTTGTTAGGTAAACAATATCTATTTAGTTGCGAGATTCATTGATCAATAGTTCATTAAATGACAATCGCATTTGCCGTTTGCCGTTTGCCGTTTGCCGTTTGCCGTTTTCATTTTCCATTTGCCGTTCTGTCAGGCACTCAAAGTTCCTTTTGTTTCACACGCACAATTCGTATCCCGCTGTGTCCTGTAAAACAGCATCAAATTGCGATTCCTGCTCCAGCCGATTCTCTTAAGATCAGGTACTCTTCTAGTATCAGGCTTAGTCGCTAAGAAATGCAAATTAAAGGCATCTTGTCATCTCAAATAACAAATTCTTTTGTCTTCATCTAAGACACTTGGATGACATTATTAGACTTACCAAACAAGAGTTATTTAAGAGTTAATCTTGCTGGCTGCCTAGAAATAATGGCTATTCAATAGGAAAGTCCACATCTAGAACTTGGTGTTTTGAAGCTATGAAATGTCAAGTCTCTCGGTTGTGTAGCTCATGAGAGTTCATAGAGACGGGCGTACGGACGGACGGCTCGTTGAATAGATGATACAGATACTCTATATATATTTGGAATCGAAGGTCGTTAAGTAGATTCTGGTTAAGTAGATTCGTGAATTAATTTTTCTACCATTCCCTTCGTCAAAGCCGAGCTGCATAATCACTCTGAACCCAGCTGAAACGAAAACTGATACTGAAACAGGGGACGATAACAATAAAACAAATCTTTCATAACCTGAGCAGTTTCTAGGGCAAAACACCTACTAAACTGAGTGCCTCTAGATCTTACTGTGAGCAAGTGAATACCTATAAATATCAGATGATACACTGGGAAAAAACGGAAAACAAGTGACAATACATAGTTCAAATTGAAGCTCTCTAGCTTTATTAATATATATAAATCTATATATATATATATATATATATATATATATATATATATATATATATATATATATATATATAGTATATAAATTATGCGAGGTTGGGTACGATCTCAAGAGCTCTTTCTGTCTAGCGCTGTAAACAAAACCAAACACGTATTTCGAATAGACTCAGGCAGTATAATTTCATATATTTTAAATAATATTTGTTTCAAAGTATAAATCTATTTAACGATCAATTTTGATCAATCTGATGTTGCCCGATTAGTGTTATTCATTTAAAAGATCCTCTCTAATTCTCCCCTTGCCCATAATACACTTACACAAATTCCTATAGTTTGGACATCAACGTGATCGGTCGCTGAGTCGCTGATCGAGTCCGATGAATAGCTGTTTATCACTAAAACCTCCTTTTCATATGTCCTATATACTTAGACTCAGCATCTGTATAATCCGTTTAATGGATTTCATGGAAACTGGAGAGGCTTAAAAAGTTTAAAAGAGTATATTGGTTTTGCGCAATGTCCGCTTGTCAATATTTTATTATTTTATTATTTTATTATTTTATTATTTTATTATTTTATTATTTTATTATTTTATTATTTAATGCTCAAGCAACTTTAAAAAACTCACAATGATATTAGAGGCGTGGCAAAACAGTGCTGACTATATAGTATGTTTAATTTGAATCTGATTATGAATAATCGTGAAGTTGATCTGCAAAATAACATATATATTTCTGCGGCCTTAGAAACGTTGCAAATTGGATAAAGTATATGGAAAAAGTATAAGTAGATATTTTAAAGGCTAGAATCTCAGTGATTTAATGGCCCTTTAGGCCTGCATCTACTACAGGCTTACGACTTGCAAGCAGGAAATTTCCTGTCGGATGTGTCTCCAAGAATATTTGTCAGCTTAGACATATTCGAACTCTTTCACATATTGTTCGCATATATGTTCAGCAGAACTTAAATCTGGAGAATTTAGGCAAATTTTGAGCCCGTATCCAAAAGATAACAAGCATCAAAAATTAAATTATATAAATTTATATAAAATTAAATTTATATAAATTTAATTTTATTTATATATAAATTTATTAAAATTTAATTTTATTTATATAAAATTAAATTTATATAAATTTATATAAAATTAAATTTATATAAATTTATATAAAACTAAATGCACAATTTGTAGAAATTGAATTTCGATTCCGTTTTTAATTTATAAAAATAGAAAGGGAATAGAATTATGGAGTCTGCCACTATTTCCCAGTTTTAGTAGGTTCAGCGTATACAAACGATCAACTGCTTCAGTTTTTTATTCGGATCTTCTTTTGTCTGTGACCTCCTCAATTGCAATACTTGGCAGATAGCTTGCTTCGAACTTCGAACCTCTTGTGTGTGCCAGATCGGACTACCTGGTCCCCAGATATACCCGAGTCTGGAATATTGATTCTTGAACACAATTAACTTTCCTTTGAACGTAAGCGTGCTTCATTGGTGTTCCGAGATTGAGGATAGACTCGCCCGTTGCTGCTGATCGATTGTACGAGTGCTTGATGTATTAAATCTTCCCCGACGCCCTCCACATATAATTCAAATCTGTAGTCTCTGCTTTCGATACTTTGAATAGCTTAACCTACATTGTGTGGGGAGAAATTAGTCTTGTCGCTTTGACTGTACGTCTGTATGACTTTTGAAGTGAGCGACTTCTGTGCCAGGCGCTTTTCCCAGCAGCTCTCGGTCTTCATTAAAACTTGCATATCAAGTGCGAAATTTAAGTGCAGCAAAATAAATGATGTGTAGAGAAGACTCTCGACTGCCGATACCGAGATCTACCGAGATCTTGCTGTTCCCGTTCCCGTTCCCGTTCCCGTTCCCGTTCCCGTCTCGCGCTCTGACTTTCATGTTCGTCATTAGGACAGATTTCTTCTGATCAGTTTAGGAGCGGTCTTTCGTCTTTGCTGTTGCTTCTCCGCGACGCTTCGTCTGCTTCGACGTGAAAAAAAACATATAATTAGGAGTTCTCTAAAATAACATTTCTGTATATGAAAAATTGAACGAGTAGCATATACCCTGACCAAAGTGTTTCTATATATTTGCAATAGAATTTCCATAGCCAATTTGCTATATATTTTGAAACCGAACTTTGAAATCGATATTAATCGACTTCATAAAATGAATATCTATGACTTCAAACAGAACTGTATCGACATGTCAGACAGAGGGACGTAAAGGCAATCATCAACTCACTTCATTTTAGTCTCTATCCAACTTAGTCCCTATCATATAGTTGCTCTGGAGTTTCCATATACTAAACGTGAGGGACTTTTGTATGCACATTTATATATATTCATATAATTGCGAAAATATCAATATCGCAGGACTTGAGTCAGCTTACCTCTATCGAAACGAACCAACATTACTTAAATTTATATGACTTTTCCCACACCATATACTCCGCTGCTTCAGAGGTAGAATCAATCAATTTTAAAGCTGGATTGTTGTAGTCGTCCTCTAAAAATGTACAGATGAACCATTCGAGGCAGTGAAATACCTTATATATATATATATACAAGTTCATGAACACATTAACAATACTTATTGGTAAACCTAATTGCATTATAGGTCATGGAGGCGTCAATCAGCTGGGAGGCGTGTTCGTTAACGGTCGCCCCCTACCCGATGTGGTCCGTCAGCGAATCGTGGAGCTGGCCCACAACGGCGTTCGGCCCTGCGATATATCGCGGCAGCTGCGTGTGAGCCACGGCTGCGTCTCAAAGATACTGTCCAGGTAAGTGAGCAAGTATCACTAGACTTACAATCTAATATACAGTTGGTCCCACTACGGTCTGCAGTAGAAAGTAGAATGGGGAAAATGGCAGTGGATCAGGGTTAAGCTCTACAAGAAATGCGCCGTGGCGAATGTGCTTGCACCGTGGACGAGCATTATTCAGTCGGCCATACCCGACAATGCTCTTATTTGCTTTCGATACAGAATTAGCATACAAATCCACTTAATTCATATACGTACGTGCCTCTTGTGTGTAGATAAATATACGTCCACGGAGTCGGAGTGTAATCAGGCTATACACGGTATAAAGATATTGGCGAATTCTAATATATATGTATAGCATATATATGCTTGTCCCCAACTGCCCATTGACTGTCTGATTTAATGGATTTCATCGACTATTTAAGCAATGAACTCCATTAGTCCATATTAATCAGTTATAAAATCAATTATAAAAAACCCATTGAAAATGGAAATTCAGAGCATGGCAGACTCCGTGGAGTATATATAGTCTTGATCAGTCCAGGTATGTCCGTGCTCCTGCAGACCTTGTTTCCATAACTCGACCGATTGTCTTAAAATGACACATCTGCTTGTGAAAGATAGAAGATAGAAGATGGAAAATGGGGCATGGAAGACGCCAAGACACTTTATCTTTATGTCTTTGACGCAATGGCGGTGCTGCCAATCCTTATATTGGCCGTTTCCACTCGCTTAGCAGGCGTAAGGACGGCTTCAGCTTTCTGAGCTTCTGGCCCTAGTCCTGCTCTAGTCCTGACTGAATGGTCTCCGAGAAAGCTGTCGTCTCGAAAGTATCCATGCGATAAGCCTCCCGAAGCTAAGCTGGTGGTCAGACAGGTGGGTCCCCGACTGTGACCAGTAGCGCCGAGTGATCGCTACCTTTATAGATCTCAGCTGAGACTCCACTTCGCCTGTGATATCGACTATGGATCCGCAACAAGTCCGACTGAATGTGAACTCGTTCCCTTGTTGAACAGAAGGCTGGGGCCTCTGGCATTAGTTTCTTGGCTTCCCCATTCCATCGCCGGCTATGTAGTCTTCCGTCCCCTTGCATCCTCGACGAGTTCATCAATCACTGATATGAATTCGTTGACCTGAATACTGCGGGACAGGTAGCACCACAGGTGTGTGTGTGTGTGTATGTGTGTGTGTGTGTGTGTGGGTTGATTCCTATCCCAAAATAGCTTGGAATAGCGGGTGTTCAGGGTATTCTATAGTCGGGCACTCTCGAACAGAGCATTCTTGCTGGCTTTAATATTGTATTCGAATAACCTGAGGAAAATGCCGACTCATAAACATGCAAAATACGCAACGTGGCAACGAACAGGTGCTCAGCTGCTGCGGTAGCTCGATGTGAGCACAGGTGACAAAACTGGAGTCTGACTTAATTTGTTAATTAGATGGAGCTTACTCTTATAATCATTCTGGTCGTAGGGAGTTGGCTCGCGGCTTGACCAGGTGCAGGGGCAGCACTTGCAGCCACAACAGGGCATGCAAAATAGGAGCAATAAATCTTGTCGGTCGCATGGATATGTGGTTGGGTGGGCAGTGTGCAAGGACTCTGCAGGACTGTGCAGCACTCATATGTCAGCCTCCAACTCGCATCCTCTACCTAAACGTTGGCTGACATTTAAATTGTTTATAATTGAAATGGTAAAATGGTGGTTCCGTTCCAGAATGCATGCATTAATCAAGGCGTCTGTGCTGACAAGGGACTATACATATATATATATATATATATATATATATATATATATATATATATATATATCATAATGTATATAATTATTCAGTATACGTTCGCTGTGTCTGTCTGAGTGTTAAAGTGAATTCTGTATCGAGTAGTCCAGGCTACTCCAATAGCAGGATATCTTCCTTGTATGTGACTGTAGTTACCATAGTCTACATACAAACTTATATATATATTCCAATATGCTCGGTACTTTTGTTCTTTGCAGGTACTACGAAACTGGTAGCTTTAAAGCAGGAGTCATAGGCGGCTCGAAGCCGAAGGTCGCGACACCTCCAGTCGTTGATGCGATCGCCAACTACAAACGGGAAAACCCGACAATGTTCGCCTGGGAGATACGAGATCGATTGCTGGCAGAAGGCATATGTTCACAAGATAATGTACCCAGCGTATCATCCATAAATCGGTAAGACACAATTAGTTCTCTGCCTTTCTATATATATATATCTATATATTTCTCATATCGTATATTACATATTGTATAACCATTTGCACATCGGTTTTGGGCTCCTGGACATTAGCACTTTGTATATCACCTATCCTGAATAACATATTATCTCATCTCCTATGCCCCCTATCGTACATTCGCCTATCTCCATTTTAATATCTGCTTGGGGTCGCTTGACTTGACATCGTGTCCGGGAGACATTGGTCGTATATCCTCATCGTATAGCGAACACCATTTGGTGTCTTTCGATGGAGTGTTTAAGATACCTAACTGGATTCCCTCGATAATGAGCATCTGCTTGGGGCTCTTCAATTTGTGTCTTGAATCAGGCTGATGCAGCTTTGCTGATTGAGAGGGTATCGCATATATTCGCAGTGCTCTGGTATATCATTCAGCAGAGTTAACTGTTTGCCAGGTTTGACATGGGTGAGTGTGGCAGTGCTTGCTTGCTGTCATGCAACTTAGTTCCGAATCCGTTTCCGCATCCGTCTCCCAAATCCACGATGATGGGTGCGGCTCTGGCCCCGAACACACAGCGAGATGGCTAATAAAAATATCTAAGTAGTTTTCAGCGTTCATAATTGCGGCACAATGCTTGACACACGACCACCACAAAAGCCAGCTTCCTAGTCGTGTTCCGGTGCAGCGTTCCCTGGCATCGTAGGCTCATAACAGCAGCGCATCAACCCAGCAGTGGCGACGTTCTAGCGGGTTGTAATGTACGCACTTCCTCTTTGACCATAATTCATTTTATTTGGCTAAGGATGCCAGGAGGCAGCTGCTCAAAGCTGGAGTCGCCGTTGCCGTCGCCGTCGCCGTTGCCGTTGCCGTTGCCGTCTGCGCCATCGCCATTGCCGTCATCGTCGCCTTCGTCGTGTCTCTACGAAAAGCCATAAATTAGCTGTGCACAGCGCACAATAACTGTAATTTCGAGCGACGGACGGCAGATCGCGACGTCGTTTGTTGCTGTCAAGCGGAAGAGTGAGAGGTGACTAAGGTCAACGCGCACTTGTTCACCACCCCCACTTGGCCCACCACAAGCTTACACACACAGCCTTTTACCCACCACAACAGGCTTAACTAAAACACATTGCTGAATACTCTTTGGGGCGCTGCAACCACACGCAGCACGTGCAGCCATTCAGAATCAATTCGCTACGACCAGGAGTATGCAAAGCGCCAGGATGAGATGAGTGGATGATGATGGGATGAATCACATGGCTTACCATGCGACCGAGGGTAATTCCAAGGGATAATCAACATTAACTTGCCATAATGCGACAATGTGTGATTTGATGTCACTCGGGCGATGATTGAGACGCAGATTCAATAACACACAAACTTACATTGCGTCCATACGTATCGCTGTGTGAGTGTACGTGTGTGCAACAGACCCTCTCTCGCAGCAAGTGTCAGGCGCACTTTCAGTCCAGTCCACTTGCCGTTCTTTTTTGTTTTTGCTAGCCCCATTCAGCGTGAGTCCCAGGAGAATAGCACTTATAAAGTGACTTTCGCAGCACTCAACGTAAGCCAATTGCCTGGGCCCTCTTCTGGCTGCAAACAAAGCCGAATATACAAATCGAAAAATGTGTAGGCAATGCATAATGCCGCGCATCCCAAACATATGTCCCAATTGTGTGCACTGTCCAACTAGTAATTCCAGCCTCAATCCACTCTCTTAACCCGGTGAGATTGTCCTTTTTGAAATATATAATTTGATTTGATTCCGCTTGAGTTACCCTCTCAATTTGCAACCCTCTGCAAGGGCGGGAGGGAGGTAGGTAGGCGGAAGGGAGTGACGAGTACTTCAAGCTCTTGTACTCTAATACATATATGCGTAGGTATAAGAGTAAAAGTGCTTAACTTTGAAGACAAATATACATAGTGGAGCGTCGTCTCTTCTCATATCATCTACTTTTAGTCTTGTTTAGAGCTCTGAGGTGACTTAATTCGCTTTTTGCATATTCTCACCTAATCCTAGCTGCGACCATAAACGTAAAACTTGACTTTATTTGCGGACAATGTTCCGCATTAAGCAGTCCCCAGGTGCCCAAGGGGCGCATCTTAAAAATGTTTAGTCTCTTGAAGGGGGGATTAGAAACGGAAATAGAAATTCCGTGTTCCGAGGACTGATTTAAGTCTCTTTTGTGGATTTTAGACAGATATTTGATTATTGATATTTTTCTTTGCAGAATTGTTCGTAACAAGGCAGCTGAGAAGGCAAAACATGTGCATCACAATCATCATCAGCAGCAGCAGCAGCAGCAGCAGCAGCAGCAGCAGCAGCAGCAAATGCAGCCCAGCTTAAGTAATGGACATATCGCAACTGAAAGTCTTGATAGCAGCAACGGCGCAATTAGCGAACAGCAAGCTGTCATTACTAACAACAACAACAACAACAACAACAACTCAAACAGCAATAACACGAACAACAGCACAACTTCGGTCGTATCGGGTACAGGTACAGTTACTGGCCTAGGTACAGTGGCAGGCATAGGTACAGGTACAGGTACAGAAACAGTGACAGGCAGCGCCAGCAGCGGCGCCAGCGGTAACAACAGCATTACAACGGCAGCGGCAGCTACAACAACAGAGCAGCGATCGTCTGGTTCAGGATACAGTATAAATGGGATATTGGGCCTACAGCATGCTCATCATATACATAACAACAACAACAACAACAATAACAGCACAAATAACAACAACACGTCAGATGCAAATTGCAAACGCAAGCGAAATGATATTCATGGTAAGAAAAATCACATCTCTGTTCACCTCTCTATCTTTCTCTCTCTGTCTCTATCCTCCCTCTCGCATCAGCTCGCTCTCTTTCTTTGTCGATCCAATACTCGGCAAATGATAGAATATTTATAAGACATCGATTGATCGATAAATGATTACCACTTCAAAGAAACCGATAATCGTCAATTTTACCAAGCGCAAAGGAAGAGTCAAAAGTCAAGTACTCCACTTTAGCTTTTAACTTGACTTTGCTCCCATTCCGTTAAGACTTACCTTAAGCCAGTCTTGCCAAGGGCCGCAATGAGCTACAAACTTTAGGTATAGGAAATCAACAATTTAAGGATATCTTGGCTTTGTGTATTCAGTTTCGATACAATTTGTACTTTATCAACTTGTCCGCAACAGCAAAAGCAGACGTCGCGGGAATAAAAGCCTTCATTTGCATATCGTTGATGAATGTAGTTGGGTGGAGTGGAATGCTGGGGCGATTTTGTCAAGCAACACTTCGGCTATACTTTGTGGCCTTGTTATGAGGGTCATTATCGAACCGCAGCCGTCACGACGGCGTCAAAGCATGTGTCTAGGTACTGAAATCAAACCCCAGAAACAGGTTAAAGAGAGATATCATCTTAATTGGGTGCTGGTTAGTGCAGTAGCAGAAGGCATACAGCTACAGCTACAGCTACAGATACAGATACAGATACAGAATAAGGGCGTATTCCACCATTACAGGGGGGCTGAGAGAGAGCGAGAGCGAGAGCGAGAAAGAGTGAGAGTGAGAGTGACAGTGAAAGAAAGAGACATCATTAAATAATAATAATGTCAGATGGAATCCTTAAATGGAATTCGCTTTCAATAACAAAACCAGTAAGAGTAGCATATGCTCGATAACCAGATACCCTGCACTCTTAACTATTTGAATGCGTTCCAATTGCCATCAAAACAATTATTGTTATCTATCTCTCTCTCTCTCTCTCTCTCTCTCTCTCTCTCTCTCTCTCTCTCACTCTCTCTCTCTCTCTCTCTCTCTCTCTCTCTCTTGGCAATAAAATAGCAATCAACTTTGAGCCCAAAAAATCCGAACATACCTTCTTTGTTTTGCTCTTACTCTGCAGATTGCTTATCGATTCCCTTAGGAGTGTAGGCAAAAAAGCATCTCTGTGTGAATGAATGTGTGTGTGTGGTTGTTATGTATCAGATACTTAGGCTTCAATTTGTGGCAAATTTGTTCAAATCATTTTTGATTTTCCCGACGCAGAACGAAACTCAATATCTCCGGTCAAAATGTCGTTAGACAGCCTCCCCCATCAGCAAGGTCCAAGCTCTATGGGAGGGTAAGGGGTTGAAAAGTGGGCGTAAGCATGTTCTTCTTTCATCCCGTCCCCCATGCCTACCATACCATAGCATAGACATTACACTTATGCTTACGATTGAGATTACAACAATTATTTGGTGTCCGTTTGCCTGCTGTGATGTCTTTTTCGTCACATGTGTAAAAATGGTAGACTCTGCCACGCCCCTATAGATCAGTCTTTACACGAAAATAAAATGTTTTTGTTCGTTCCCTCTGGGAACGAGTGAAACTTTTTATCGATAGAAAATCAAATTAAATCCCATATAAAATAATTTATTAATATTGTCCTTAAAGCATAAAAATCTTTCTTCATACTCGTACTCGATCCGATACCATTCAGCTTTTCGAATCGTTACAGGTTGTATATCATTACTCTTTGATCTTAGACGCTCTGTTGCTCTCTTAAACTAAATCAGACGTAATGAGTACGTAGATTTTCAAAATTCATATCTATGTTAGCAAAATTAGCCACAGTTATACCACATCGGAAGAGGCTATCAAGTCTGAACTCAAAAAATAATTATAATTGTTCTTCAACTATTCCAAATGAGAAAATAAATAATATCGGAAAATTATGTATATAATCAAAGTGCAGAAATGAATCGCAACTTGCGCTAATGGGACTTGCCGGTAAAGATTTGCCGAAATATTGGCGGAGTGGCAAATCGGAAAAACTCAAAATTTAGTGACGAAATTACTTTAAGTTAAGCTCGTAAAATGCCTGCAGTCTGGAGCAATACCAACTTGACTTAACCCTAAAAGCCGCTGAAACTATTCAGCTTTATAGGTGTCGATACATACAACGATACATCAACTGCCCTAATTATGCTTTTACGGTGCTAAGCTCTGACTTACACCTTATACACCCTGGAAGACTGCTTTCTGCTCACTTGTTTACCATCTGCGTCGTGACACGTGCTTTCTGTTGGCCTTGTAATCAGAAAAGGAAAGCCATTACAATAATAATTTCTAGGCAGCTTATTAACGAAGACCTCGTGACTTCTTAAGCCTTTCGATATGTGTGTATGTGCGGGGATTACATATTTACTTATATATATATATATCCTGTCGACGCATAAATGCACTTAAGAGCCACGTGGCAAGACAGAAAAAGAACTGCGACAATAAATGTAACAACAGTAATTCAATTAGGAGGGTTAGCTGTGTGTGAGTTTACTGGGGTGGAGGAAGGCATACAGAGAGAGAAGAGAGTTTCAAGTCTTAAGATTGTGTATATAGAAAAGGACAAAGAGAGAGAACGAGACAAAAGTAATATCGCTTTAAGTCTCAAGTCTTTATGATTAGAAATGAGAGAGAGAGAAAAGCACATTTCAAGTGTCAAGGCAAAGAGACTGAGTGATTGACAAAGATGAAAAAAATTAATAAACTCACTTCTCACCAAGGACACATTTAAATTTTTGAATCTTTCAGATGAGAACCGCGATGTGAACATGAATTCCGAAGAGGAAGGCAAGCGACAGCGATTAGCTTACGGCGGTGACCAAATATATACAAATGTACGTGTTATCCTATCTAAGTCTCCAAAGAACAACAGCAACAAAGACTGTTCTAGGTCTTTTTGTATAAGCCAATAGCGTGTCGAGTGTTTTACGAGACTCCCTCAACACTACTAGCTATAATGTCTTTATTTCATCCAGATCCAAGGGAGTTTGTTATCGATGATTTAAAGAACTGATCAAATGTAGTTGTTATTGAAAATGCTAGCTGTGACTACTATAGATAGGTTCATTGATAAAGCGATATAATGAGAGACACAGACGGTCTTTAGCTATAATGTCAAATGTCTTGAAATGTCATTTCAATCCAGAGACAACTTATGCAAATATGGAAATAATCGATGTAATAATATCTTGTTGATTTGCATAGATCTGGTCTGGTAAATGGTGTATCAAGGATGAGCATAAGTTGCTCTCGGAGCTGGGAAACTTTACAGGCTCAGCGACGACGACGACGAGTGGAAGTGGACCTGCTTACTACGAAACGCCAAATGGATATCCGACTAGCACAATACCCTGTGCGGGTGTTGGCAACGACTCGACCATGATGTACGATAGCATCGCATCGATGTCCCAAAGTCAAAGTACGTTATATACGCCGCCGATTGGACCATCTATAGGCAAGTTAAATGAGCGACGTACACATATCAAATCGATTATATATTATATGTTTTATTTTGTTTAATTTTGAAAATGTTTCTGACTGTATGTGCATGTGCATGTGTGTGTGTGTGTGTGTGTGTGGGTGTGTGTGTGTATGTGTGTGTGTGTAGGCAGCAGTTCATTGACGCCGCTAGTGCCCTTAAGTTTGCAAGACATGAAATTCAATGTGGCTAATCAGGAACCAAACATATCGCCTTTTTATACAGGTAAGAGATCTGAGTAAATCCGTCTACGGCTAATATCGGTTATTGAACAACATGTGTATATGATATCTAGTATTTTGAAGATATACAAAGTCGGCTATATCGGACAACCCAAACCGATATTTATCGATACTAAGGAAAACAATCATTAGACAAGGTCAAGAGTAACTCAATTATCGAATTTTGCTAGCTCTAAGACTTTAGAAGATTTGGATTCTTACAAACGCGTAAATATTCATACATATTTCATGTCTCCGATATTAATAACCGAACAGCAAATCGGGAACTACACAAGCCCAATATAATCTAAAACACTTCTACTCTGTACCGACTGAGATTACATTCGTGATCATCGCAGTAGTAACAAGCGATGTGGGATTAGTGCTAAGTCGAAAGTTGACCAACTGACAGATATTCTGTAACTCTGATTAGGGTTCGAAACAGATCTCCGCAAAACTGTAGATTTCAATCTTCTCTCATAGCTTGACAGCTGTCTCTATCAAAGAGATATATGTATAGATCCACCCATTCGAAATAAATTGATGAGTTCTTACCTAATTTAATACCAATTCACGATTTCACAATCAGCAATTGCCATTGAAAGCGGCAGCAACTATCCCACAATAACGAGCTTGGATAATGCCAACACGACGGCGGTGATACGCGCTAATGTTGCTAGCCGAAGCAACTGTAATGATTCGCCCACTACCACTAATGCTAATGCCAATGCCAATGCCAATGCCAATGACAATGCCAATGCCAATGCCAATGCTAGTGCTAGTGTTAGAGCTAGTGCTAATGAGCATCATAATGTAGATAGTGTTCTTGATACTGTTCATGATGTGAGCAGTGATGAGAACGCCAACAATAAAAGTGCACGCATTGATATGAGCAAACAGCGCGGGATCAATCATATCGACTTACACATACCCATTAATCATCTAATGCCCGACTCATCAACAGTCCAGGATCATCATCATCATCAGCAGCAGCAGCAGCTGTCAGGCAATGGAAACGCTAATACCTCATCTCTAATAGTCTTACAAGCCAATGCAAATAGCTCAACGGTCGACGGACGCTCTGATGTTGATTATATTGCTGCCAATAGCACAGCTATTTATGCCACGCCCACAATGCTTCCCAGTTTTAGCCACTACTCAGCAGGCAAGTCTCTTTTTCTCTCTCCCTCTCCCTGTTGCACTTGCCGTCGCACTCATTGGCCGTGGCTACTACTCTGCCCCTCTCTCTGTCTCTCTCTCTCTCACTCTCTCGCACTGAAAACACTTTGGTGGTGGTAGTGGTGATGGTGGTGGTAGCACTCTCGATTATGCAAAGAGCTTAACACAGACGCACGCGTGTTTCGTTAAAACTCAAATTAACGCGCGTCTTTCGTTAAAGCTCAAACTAACACAAATGCTCTTTGCGCCATCTACAACAGATTATTTTAACAGTAGATGGTAGGCTGGAATTTAACATACTCAACTCAAGCTTAACATTACTCAATCTTATATTGTATATCGTATGATATATACCGTATATTTTCAAGTTTTCTAACGGTGGTAGTTATGGTAATGGTTTATACGATGTCTCATATTCTTAGGGATATCAACTAAATAATCTGTGTACTGCGAATGTATAATACCTTAAAAAATATGCGAAATTAAAAATGAATTATTCTTTATTCATATTATTTATTCTTATATTGCAAATAGTATTACTAACTTGTGTTACTATCAATTTTATTTCATTTCGTTAATTTTAACTCTGCAAGATTCCAAATTTATTTTTGCTTTCTTACAGCATGTGGCTCAGTAGTACCAAGCGCCGATTACGCCTATAGTCCGGCTTATACACAATATGGGGGAACTTATGGATCATACAGCTACGGAACTAGCAGTGGCCTAATAAGTAAGACTAATCATGATGAGTATGAGTATATAGTATATATTACATAAATAATTACAGATTCATCGTACTACTATGAAGCCGGTCAGAATCAGGCGTCCCTCAATCAAGACTTACGCTCGCCTTTAGCTGCAACTAGGGCCAATTCTTTGGTCTCAGCAGCATCGCCAACTGGCAGTGCATGCACGAAATCGGAGACATCAGATATATTTCTTGTGTAGTAGTACCGAAAGATCGAAATCTAGAGAATCCTTTAGTTGTAATAATTGTTCCAAAGAAACTTGAATATAGTTATAGATATGTCTATGCAAATATATAGATATATAGATATATATTCATACATATGTACAGTAAAGATTAATACATACTCGTACAATCTCTCTATATTTAACTATATATACATCTAACTGTACGGGTCCGTATTTATCTTAAGTGTTGACAAGAGGAAAAAGAAAAGTAAGCCCATCCAAGTGTTAGTTTTAATAGACGATGAACTGAAGAACTCAACGAGAACAATTCTCAATATAATTAGCTTATTTACATTTAAGCATAGAATTCGGTAAATAAACCGAGAACTTAATATACTTCTCTCTGTATTATTAAGTAGTAAGACTAAAAAATAACAAGAAAGGAAACAGAACCGAAATAACGATTTCAGTATTTGGATGATATATGAATTCACGCAATCGAACAAATCGTCTAATAATCTGTCACTAAGTAAAAAGAAAGTATATTGGTTTTGTGCAATGCCCATTCGTTCTACGAAATTGGTTGATGCGTCTAAAAACAGTATTTATAATATTTATATACGTCTACGAGGGCAAGGTAAATTAAGACAAGAAACCAAATATATATCTTTGAAAGTCCCTAAAATCAAATTGATTAAATAGGACCATTGAGTTTGGATCCAATCTATTGATTTTCACTTTGTGAAAGCTGCAAAAGTAATAAAAAAACGAAGTAAGTTAAAAGATGAAACCAAAATATTCACTAAGAGAAACTCAACCAAAAACTCTATATATGCAAGTTTTTCAAAAACTGAAATCACATGTATTTTAATATGTTAGGGTTAGATTAATATATATATATAAATTTACGCACATGATTATGGTATAATAATTAACTATATGTATATGCACATATTATGTTCAAACTGTACATACTGATCTATCGTTAAATGACAGAGTTGTAGGTTGCCCAAAAAGCAGCTCTGCTGTATAAGTTGAGTTTTAACGGCGGGGCGCGTTAGATTGAGCTCACAACACCGATGTGAGTTTTATTAAAATATTTTGAGAACTCACCACATACTAAGCTCTAAAATGTGGAGTCAAGCTGTTATGCTAACGTGACATCACGCAATTAAGCTAACAGTGCTAAATTTGTATAACCTATATTTTGTCAATCGTGCATAGTGAATGTATAAATGAATGTTATATTAATTATTACATACTTATTTTAAGCGACCTCCATAGATGAGTGAAAAAGGCATTTAAAACCAGATCTACGTTAAAATAATTAATTTGACGTGAACACCAAAATTAAAATACAATTTTTGATTTAATTTATTAAAAAAAGTTACTTAAAAAAGTTATATTTTTATTTTTATTTTTATTTTGACAAATTGTAATTAGACTGCGAATTTCATTGAGTACATATACATATGTACATTGAAAACGTTTTATGTAATTCAATAAACACACATCTCTCCTTATATTCAAATATTTTAAGTGATGATGTATACATCGAACTGTATTTGTACTCGTAAATGTAATTAGTAGATGTAATTCATTAACTGAACCCGATAGCTTATTAAGAAAGCACAAACCAAATTCTGTATAGATATATACACATAGCAAATACAATTGAAACACACATATATGTATGTATATCTATAAATAAAAAATCAAATTAAATACAAATGGAACCTAATTGAATTGTAACAATCAAAGCTAAAGGGTAAAATGGTATGTTTATCGGAAAAAGTATCGATATAAAAGCCATTCAACCCTCGCGAATACAACGTGTATGGTCGGCATGAAGTAAAATTACTTTCGAGCGCGTAAACGCTGAAAGCCCTCAGCTAAAATAGAAATATTCTATACGAAAAGGTTGATTGAGACAAGCCCCTACCCGTGTCCCTGCCACTTCCATCCATTAACGTACATTTGTATATATGTATGTACATTTGAGATACGTTGACATACATATGGGCATTCAAGAGAGCGCAGTGCGACTAAGCAGAGTTGAATATTATACAGTTTTAGATATTTGCAATTTTAGTCTGTCTCAAACCAGTGAACAAAGGAAAAACAGAATTAATTGATAGTTATATTCCGATTCTTAAAATAAACAATGATATTGTATTTTTTCTATGAACTTTTCCATCACGCAAATCTAAAAAGGTTTTTTATATTTCTATTGAATACCTTTTACTGATCCTTTTACAATGCCGTATTTTGCAAAATGAATAGTATTATTTTCAATTCTGTTATTTCTTTCCCATCACTTACTATTGCAGAAATTGTGACGTCACCTACAAAACTGTTATTTAACATTAAAAGTAGCGAAACTGCTCAAAGGGCACAAATTTGATATGTTCCACAATGTTTTTCTACATTCCCATCTATGTGTTATATGGCTAGTGGTAGAACGCTCAAGGGATTATGATGATTAAATCCCATAGCTCAGGTGATCGATCGTTAAAGTTAAAAGTTTCCAATTAGCGAAACAATTGCGAAAAGATCATTAACCCATCCATGTGACGAAGTTGAGTTGTCGATATGAGATATCACTATCGTCTTCGATTATCGATTACATATTCATGAAAATATCGCACGATCTATTTTAATTTCCGTTTGATTTAAACATTTGCGGCTCAAAATAAAATATGCTAATCACTTGTACTTGATTTAATGTATATATTTATTTTGTAAGACTTATTTTAAATAAGATATATGTGAATTATGTATGTGATAAATTGTCTCCTTTGTTTCTTAAATAATTAACTGATTTCCCCTAAGTGCATTGGACTCCGTCTGCATATATATTCATATATTTGCATGTAGCTATATTTACCAAGTCAAATGCACTTATATATATATATATATATATATATATATATACATATATATATATATATGTATGCATATATACACATTCTGTTCATTTTTAATATTTATGTAATGCTTGTAAATAGTTGTACGCGCTTAATCAAATTACACAGATAACACATTTATGCTATAAATTAATTATTCTTGTTTTGCATATTGTTAGTAATAATTTTATCCCTTGCTTTTTTGTTTTTTTTTTGTTGTTTTTATTGACGGCTATTGTTAAATATTCCTAATTGTGTATGTAAATATTTATAATCATGGTTCACATGCAGCTACACAAGGTATGTATATTATGTACATACACACACACAAACATACTCATGAGTGCATAATTTATATCTGTTCTTTGTTGTTATTATTAGTGATGAGCATTATACATTCACATGTCAGGCATGTAAATAAAGCTACTTCCATGTGTGTGTTGTAATTGATGAGCATTTTACTTAGATATGCATGTATATGAGAACACACACGTATTTACTCAAGCATGCGTACACGCACACACACAGTCATAGGCAAACGTTTACATAAGCAATATGTGTGACTTGGTATTCTGTAAGTGATGGTAATTTTTAGATAAGATGTATATATAGCCAATTGCAATTTACCTATCATTATATGTCAGAAAACTTTGCTATAAATTTTCGCTTTTTGGTTTTTTTTTTAATTTTGATTGAAATCACAGTTTTAAACATGTACACATACAATCCAATATTTCTTTATACCGTATAACACCTTCACAATAAAACAAAAGCAAGCAGTATACATATATATCCGGAAAACCCAAATTATTTATCGATTTTTTAGTTTAACTCAATTGGATAATTTTCATTTCTTATCTGGCACATACATACAAACAAACGATCTGTTAAGTTAAGATGAATTATTTATATATATACATATATGTATATATTAAACAAAATGATAAAATACCTATTAATGCTATCCGATGAGGATATTCGTGGATTAATCTTTATCTTCATGTATACAGGAATAATAATCCCCAACTTCAGCTGATTTTTAGTCTACTGTAATTCAAGTTTTCTGATACATTTATCATCATTATAGTTATCGATTTCGAAATGAAGTTTTTGTAATGAATACGCAGGTGTAATTTTCATTCCACTATGACATATATTCCTAGACCACATCCACCTACTGCATAATCCACATCTTTGACTTTTATAGCTTCTTAGTTGGTGTTTTTTTCATTGCAATTTACGCATAATTCAATTGCTGTCTCTAGCTTTTAATATGCTAAGATAAGTGGAGTTAGAGCTCGATATTTATCGATGTATCTTATGTTCGTACCCTTGACTATAAGAAACTATATATAGAGGCTCTGAGTTTTAAAAGCATTGAGATTCTACATAAGTGGAATCTCTTTTAGAAAACTATGTTGCTCAAATAGAAATAAGGCCGCTATTATATACAAATGTGATACCATGATTTTGTATAAAGCTCAAATAAAGATACATAACTGATTCTTTAGTTCAGTAAATTCATACAAATATTTCTTAGATTTCATGCTTATCGAGTGACAAAAATCAATCATATTCGGGCAAATCTTCAATCTCTTATCAGCTACAGATGCATGAGATATATTAACCCTCATATCTCATATATTATATAATATCTGAATGCACATATTTCGGATCGGGTAAACAAAGAAAATAGTTCTTAAAGGTCAGCCAAATTAAGCATCAGAAGAAATGGTGTGAATTTTAAGGATATATAAGGTATCTCCTTTTGATAGGTATTTGCGTGTGCGTGTGTATGTGTGTGTGCGTGTATGTGTTTTTTTTTTTGTATTCGTTTATTTGCACTTAATATATATTATATATTTTATATATATTAAGTGTAAATAAATGAATACAAAAAAAAAGAAATCTTTTTTGTTTATACTATTTAGAGTAACAGTAACCATAATCATATATGCAGTATACATATAATAAAATCAAAAAGAATACCAGAACAGAGAGAGAGAGAGAGTAGTAGTTGTAGTATATCAGTAATATATATATATTAACATAACAAAAATATCGCTCCATTTGAGGTATCCAATGCGGAGATACACTATAAAGGCAAATTGATTTTCTAATTAACTTTTTGTTTTTATTGTGAGCTAATTTGTTTATGTAATGTTTAACCGAATTGTTGTTCGGTGGGAATGCTTTTTAGTGAAAGCAAAACCGTAATTGATTATAACTTCCTATTTATATTTATATAACACAGGTTAAATTTTTGTTTTTAAGAGTTTGCTTTTCCATGTATATTTTTTGTTTTTGGAAATACAAAAAATAATCAAATTTTCAAACAGTTATGGAACGATGTACATACTTAAACAAAGGAGAGATACATATGGATGTCTTTTAGAAACATTCACACACACACACATATATATACATATATATCTGCGAATCGTATATATACTCTATACTGTGTGTGTGTAAGTAAATAATTCAAGTATCATTCCCAAAACGTATGTATGTTTGTATGTATGTATATATCGATCTTTCTTACATAAATACAGCCCTAAAAACTATGAACGTTGAAGAAAAAATAAATCTACAGGCATACAAAAATTCTAAGTCCATTCGTTTATCAGTCGATCCGCTTTTAATGTGTGTGTGTACGTTTTCAATAACATAGCTTTTTTCCATAAATGTGTAAGTATATATATATACATATATATATATATACATGCATGTATATGTGTGTTTTTGTCTGTGTATGTGTGTATGAGTCTTGGATAGACAGAAATACTATGCCATTGTCTCGTCACATATAACATTATAATCATTATAATCATCATAATTACTATCATCATCACACTAATCATCAACAATGGAACAAACGAATTGAGATATATTATAATCATAGTCTGGTTCCCTACCGGCTGGCCTATTTGGACCCTGTAGAGCTTGATTTTGAGTTATTTGTCGCCACGTCGAAGTGGCGCTAGTCACAACAGCAGCAGCAGCAGAAGCAGCGACAGGAGCATTCGATTGGCCAGCAACAGTCATGGCTGTTGCCATATTGTTGCCGCCAACACTACCACCTGTTGTGTTGTTGACAACGACGATTTTAGGATTGGTGTTGCCCCCAGTTGTTGTAGCACCATTTACAGTTGATGGATTCATATTGCTACTGCCGTTACTATTATTATTGTTACCAGCTGTACTGCTGCCGCCGACTGAGCTCCCACCAGAGCCACTAACATTGCTGCTGGGTGCGCCAATTGAACCCACTGGATTTGATACGCTGTTGGCGCCGCCGTTGCCTCCGCTTCCATTGCCATTGCTGCTATTGTTGCCGCCAGAAATGCTTGTACCACCAGAGCCACTGGCACAGCTAGTGGTGCCAGTGCCATTGTTAACGACTGTATTGCCAGTGTTTGTGGTGGACGGAGCTTGTTGTTGTGGCAAATGCTGTAGTATATTTTGCACCTCATTCTCACTCGGCGATTCAGCATAAATCGTTGTGTTACCGAGCACACAATTGTTGAGCGCCATTTGTGCTTTGTTAGCCTCCTCACGCGTTGTATATTTACATAAGGCAATTCCTTGGTTTAAATATGGGTGGAAACTAACAAGTGGACCATGTTGCAAACACAATGTTCGTAAGGTAGGACCGTCAATCTGTAAAATCAAAGAAAACACGATGTACTATCAATCAATTTCAATTCACTCTTAATTTTTTTCAATTTAATATTATATTATTGGTATATGTTTTTGTTATTTAAACGTAATATAAAGAGTAATATCGTAAAATAATCAAGTGATTTCAGATCTCCAGCTCATATTCTTTCCGTCGTAGAGGAACCTCTTCTGATAAACGAACTTGGCTAGATCGACTAGGCGAACATTATTATTGATACGGATTTTTTCTTAACTTATAATTATTGATTGTTATTTTTCATTTCTAAGCAAGTGAGAACTAAACTACTTTTATATTTAACTTAAATTGACCCCAAATTAAGCAAAGCAACGCAATTCCTTCCCAGGATAGACTTATAAGAGATACATTTCTTCTGTGTCAGGACAAATACTCCATAACACAACTTATTTTTTATACCCTGATCCCATTGAAAATGGGAAATCGGAGTATAATGGTTTTACGCAAATGCACGTAACAGGCAGAAGGAGGCGTGGCAGACCCCAAAAAGTATATATATTCTTGAACAGGACGACAAACCGAGTCGATTGAGCCCTGTCCGTCTGTCTGTCCGTATGTGTGAACGCGTCGATCTCAGCTTCTATAAAAGCTAGAGAAATTGTAGGTCCGTGTATAGCACGCGCATGTTTTGTTTCAAATATTCGATAACTATTCGCATTTAATTGTTATCGAATAAAAACATGATTGAAATGCATTTCATAAATATTATCTCGGACGTCTTAAGAGCTAGAGCTTCCAAAATTGTATTTAGTTTTATGTATATTTTATGCAATTTTGATTTTTGTTGGATTTTGGATACCGGCTCAAAATTTCGCCAAATGCTTAAAATGTAAGTTCAGTTGGAAATAGGGCTATTATATGAAGGGCTATTATGTGAATATGTATATCATATGCTGAAAATTTTATTAAAATCCATTAAGTAAAACAGTTAAGTAAAAAAGTTATTAAACAAAACATTTGGTCAATTTACAAAAGCACATGTCAGCAGCGCCACGCGCACGCATGCATTCAGATGCATGTATTCTTTTGTGCTGAATTATTAGCTGTTACTTAACTTCAAATTTGCAACTTTTTACATAAGCAGTGCAGTGGGTACGTTGGTAAAGGCGGCGCTCGTAAGCAGTTATTGTTGTTACTTGTTTGATATTTAGAGCTGGTTCCCTCAAAGTTCACATTTCAATATTATAGAAAATGTCAGAGCTACTTCATCAGACGGAGAGGGCTAAATTGACTCTGCATGTCATCCTGATCAAAAATATATATACTCATAATAATAATAAGCAATAGCATAATGCTGCGACAGTTAAACATAAAGCCTTTAAAAGTTAAACTTAAAAATACACGATATTTGTTTGTCAAAATACTTATGCCGCCTAGTGTACTTATATATTACTTTTACTTATGTACTTATATATTACTTTTACTATAATTATTATTACAAATTTATCATAGAAGCACCTGCAATTACTCATGTGCACAAAAATATAATAAACTCGTAACGCTCTACCAGGGAGTGCCCGACTAAGATATACCCTGAACTCTGAACGATCCGCGTTTTTAAATACGCTCTATAGCTTGTATATATACATAGATACGCAAATAACACGCAGTTATTCTTTTACGCGCACACTTATAATTATGTATATGGCTTAGACTACGCGAGTTAACTCTATTAACGCCGTTACTTTATTGCTTGGACGCCAAGGAGAAAATCTGAAACTGAATTACAGCTGATAATTCAAACACAATTGTTTCGCAATTGCGATTCTATTAATATAAAGCGTCTCTATACGTTTTATTTTATAACTTCAGAGCTACTCAACGAACATGGTCATCATAAAAATTCATACATAGAATTTGTGGCAATTTAGTAAAAATTCAAATATTGCAACTCTTTCTAGATTTATGTGATATATGTTCTAAATTAGACGTGCTCGTATTCAGAGTATAATCCATATGCAAGCTCTTTACAAAGCTTTAGAATATGCGAGAATAATTGTTAGCTATTATGGATATACTAACAGTCTCTGAAAATAAGGCTGGTCTACAAGGATTTTTCTTCCTATACTCGACGACAAGGTTAAGAAGAGTATATTGGTTATACGCAATATCCGGCTAGCAAGGCATTTCGCGGCTATTAAAAATAGAGACCTACAACTTGGAACGTTAGGGTTAAGTTGCATATATGACAATTGTCTTCATACGCTTCCAATTCAGCCACATGTTGAAGTCTCAGCTATCACATTTTTAAACTCATAATTTATTGTTTAATTTTAATACCTTTAATACGTAACGATTTTGGTCACATACCTGAGCAGTTAGATTTTTTAAAAGCAACCAACTCGAGTTCCACGAAATAGCGTTTCCGCCGGTCCAAGTTGTGTTAGTGCTGGGCACACTTCGATTTGGTAGCCAGCCATTTGAGTTACCAGCAACCGTAGGAGATGGTGTTGCAGTAGCAGTAACGCCTCCCGATTTATTTGTGCTTAAGCCTGGCGGAGGTCCTCGGGATGAGCTTTTATTGAGAGGACTCGTCCAGAGTTCTGAGGTGGCACATTGTTGAGTGTTGTCTGACCAACTAAGAGATATAAAAATTTTGTTAGCAATATTTAAATCATTCTTGAATATAGATTGTCCATATACATACCTAGGAAAATTTTGGTTTGGATTAAAACTCCACGTTGACGACGATAAGCTTAATGGTGGCAGATCAGTCGGTGAGTTTTTGCCAGTATTGGCAAAAATATCAGCATCTTTTGGCGTCGGATTAATGGACAATGGAGATCGTGCAACGCTTCCAGGAGTTATACTTGGATCATCTTCAATGCTTTTGATCTGAGAACCCTTAAAAAATCAACTTCTGCTTGGGTAGTTATTGGATATAAGAAATCATGTCTACAGTTACCTTCCATGGTTTGCCTGGTTCAAACTCCTGCACCAGGTCGGTATACGCAGCTGCTGTCGGTGCAACTGACCAGTCTTTGTTCTCATTATCAATTGACGGATCTGGCCAACCATCCCCAATATTGCGTCCAGTTGACCAAGTACTATAGAGTGTGAATTAAATAAGTCACACAGTCGTCGAAATAATATGTCATCTCAATTTACCCATCATTTTGTAGACCCAATGGACCCATGTTGTTTGAGTTGCTAGATAAATTTTGTTTGGTTGCACCCGGAGCTCGTGAGAAGTCAGTGCTATCTGTTGCAATGGTGTCCTTTTCTAATACTGGAAGCTTCCACTGATTTAAGCGAGACTGCTGATTGGGCGCACCCTGATATCCACTTGGCTACAAATTTGAATCCAAGTCAAAAGTATAAATCAATGTAATATAATAACATATATATATAAAAAAAAGTGTACATGTTATATATAAAAAGACTTAGTGCTTTAACCGTGTGGACGTGGCCCCCTATTGAAAATAGGAAATCAAGTTTTAGTTTGTAGAAGGATATACGTATATAAGAGCTTAGTTTGAAATCTTGATAGAGTACATACAGATTTAGTTTATTTTCATATTATCGATTACTTTTGCGCCTCTAAGTAATAGAGCTTGTCTTATGTATTTATAGGTATAACACCCAAGTACTTTAGAACTAATAGTGGGTGCCAGACCAGGATACAACCTGAGCACTGAGCCAAAATCGTATGCAAATTATTTCATATATACATATACACGCGCATATAATTTCATACGTACCTTATTAAGACTAAGCTCCGGAAAGTTCCCTTGTAGTGTAGCAATTGCATCATGATTTCTTAAATAATCATTTCCAGAATTATTTAAATGTCCGGATTGATGCTGCTGCTGTTGCTGTTGTGAATTTTGTTGCAAATTTTGCTGCTTTATATAAACAGCTTGTTGTGCATTGATTTGGTTTTGTAAATTCTGAATTTGTTGTTTGTATTTGGCGATTGCTACATTGACAACCATTGGATTAGCATTACCGCCTCTAGAAAGTGATTGCTGTGCTGCTTGAAGATGCTAAATGGCAGAAATAATTACATTGAAGCTTTTTTTATATAAAATATATAAATAGGTAATCACCTTTATACTGCTGAGTAGTTGATTCAATAAATTTAACGTAGTTTGTGTTAGCGGCTGTGTCAATATTTGACTGGATATAAAGCCACTGTGTATGGCCAATTGGATTTGTTGGCCAAGCATACGAATATGCTGGCCTGATGGTTGGCTATTAGCATTTGATGCAATATTGACCGCTGGCGCTGAATTCGCTGGATTTTGGCAAAATCCAACAACAGATGCATTTGATGCATTTACAGATTGGGGTCCAAGGGCAACACCATGTGGTGGTCCACCGCCTTGATTTATATATTTTTGTACTTGCAATGCAGCCATATTTGGATTATTGCTACCAGTTACTGCTGTCCCACTTATATTTGTCATAAGATTATTCTTTAATATAAAAAATGTTACAAGTTAATAAATTTAAAGTCATAAATATAAGTTCGATTTCCTTACCGGAGGGAATGACATTGAAGGTTGTGCTGGATAACGTTGTGGAAATCCGCCACTATTCGTAGTATTTGAATGATCAGCATAGGAACCAAGGACTTCATCGTGACGACGCCAGCCATCCATTGCTGCCAATGATGAACTTGTATTGGCCCGCAACATTTCAGCTGCATCCTCAATATTCATATTATTACTCAGCAATGCTCGCTCAACGTCTTCCTTTTTAAAGCCATTCTCCACCAAAATTCTATATTGCTTGCTTTGCTTGACAATATCAGTGTTATGTATACCAACTCCAACGTTAATGCCCGCAAGTTTTTGTTGTTGCTGTTGCTGCTGTTGTTGTTGCTGCTGCTGTTGTGCTTTACCAACGATGGCGCCACCATGGGGCCAATCCGAAGATAAATCATTAGCATCGACATTGCCGCCAACTGTGCTTGGATTGCTCCAGCCAGATGAAGCGCCTCCTGTTGTTGATAATTTATTTTGTTTATTACCCCATCCAACGCCACCAGACGGTGAATCGCTCCATGATGTTGAATTACCGCCAATTTGTGCAAGTGAACTATTTTGTTTATCATCGACCCAATTGTTTCCACCAACAGAGCCGCCACCAGCACCAACACCAACATTGTGACTATCATCGCCCCAAGAGCTGACTTGCTGTTGAGCATTTCGGCCACCGCCCCCGCCCCCACCTCCACTATTATTTGGATGCACCCACATGGCCCCAGAATCCGGTTTACTATGTTGTCCACCAACTCCAACTCCACCACTTGGTCCGCCAGTGTTTGCCAAACGAGACTGCGGCCCAACAACTCCAACCATTGAACTATTGGGATTTCCACCGACACCGCCCGGCACACTGCCAACAATTTGGCTTGTTGGATTTTGGGTACGCATCAAATGACTACGGCCCATCGAGTCTGTCATATCTTTCCAATGGGCACCGGTACCGGGTAAACGCGTCTGTTGTCCCCAAAGCGAAGTTCCGTCATCATAATTGGGTATATTTCGTCGTTGAGGTGGCGGTGATGGCTCCTCCCATCCCGTTATTTGTTTCGCTAAATCCTTTTGAACACCAACACCAACACCACCGCCTCCGCCGCCAACGACAGCTTGTGGCGCGGCCCCCCATTGTGCTCCAATATTACTTGATATCGAGCCAACTCCAGCTGGACCAATATTTGAGTTGGCAATATTTGCACCAGCTGCGCCTACAACAGGGCCAACCATTTTGTTAATATTTTGAAGTTGATTGTGGGCTATCTGTGGATGATGTCCCCACATTTCAGAAGTGCCATTTAAACGACCTGATATGCCACGCGGATCACCGCGTATCGGATCCCTTGGATCTATCATACGCAAATCTCTTGGATCTCCAGATGGTGCGCCAACTCCACGCATTGATATTGGATCACGCGGATCGACGTTTCGAATGTCAATTGGACCACCGCCGCCAGCTCCAGCTAACGGTCGCATATCACGAGGATCACCCCAACCATTGCCAGTATTGCCAACATTAGCGCCAGCTCCTCCTCCAACAGTTCCAGTTCCACTTAAATTATTTCCATTACTTCCACCTATTATACATATAAGTTTGACAATATATTAATAATATGTTCATGATAAAAGTAAAACCCTACACTGGTTATGTGAAAAGAGATTTAGATTGTGGGTTGACAAAAATAACAAGTAACAGGTCCCTAGTCGGGAGGGAACTACTAAAGTATACCCTAAAGCCTTCTTTTATACATAAACAATATATGCACACACCCATACGTTGCAGTATTAACTCAATTGTTGCAGATGTATTTTCACAATCAAATTTTGAGAGTGTGACAATAATTTTCAGAAGTATTTGCAAAAAAAACACCATTCCAAATTTGAAGTGAAGTTGGAAATCTGAAATATTCCAAACCTTTCTATGCATTCTATTAACCTACATAGTAAATTTATAATCTTTATCTTTTATGGTATTCATTACGATACTTCTATAAAAATAAAAACAGATTAATTTTTATCAATAATACAGAAATGGGAAAATTTAATAAACTCGTACCGCGTCTAACATAAAGATAAACCCTGCATGCAGGTGACATTACAATCATTATATGCTTTTTTATACATACAGAGCAAGTATAAGCACGCGTTCTGCTTACGCGCAGCTGATGCGCTTGGGCTGCAGTATGGGGGTATACTATGTGAACTTAATTGTTGAATAAGTTTACTTGCAGATAGACTTTCTTAATCCAACTTCTTGAGAGTGATAATAAAATCATAGCTTTTTTTTTGTAATTTAGGGAAAGTTGAAAATCCAAAATATACATAATCTTTGTATTCATGACCGAAGTTTACAATAAAGAATTATAATATTGCATTCTGAACGGAAAATCACTTGAAAGTACAATTCGCCAATTTATGTTTTGTATGATATTTAAGGAATTCGACTCTTATTTCATTATATTACTCATTTAAATTTACACCAATTATTTACAAACTGTGTTATAAATACAATATAGCTCGAATTAGTGTAGTCATCACATGAAAAATCACTAAAGTAAAATAATATAAGGCGCCATAAAATACAACTATTGGTCTGAGCATATGTATGTATTCTGGTCTTCAAAAAATGTATTCATAGGTTTCTAAACTCTAGAAATGGAAATTACAAATGATTTTATTGTACTTACATCCAGGAGTGACAACAGCCAATGCTCCAGTTGTTGGCACACTGTTATTTCCCGTTGAACTCAAGGGAACTCCAACACCGACTCCGACTCCAACGCCTTGCCCCCATTGGGGCCCCGTAGAGGAGCTCACGCCCGGGGCATTTGCACCCACAGCAACATTGGGTGCTGCACTATTGGATGGTTGACCTGTCCAAACGCTTGTGCTATCTGCACCATCATCATCCTCACCCCAAGTACCTCCTAAATTAGATGATGGTGTATGACCCCATGATGGCTTTGGCACTTGTTGAGCGGGTGGCTGGCCTCCGTTTCTTAAATTTGATTCCCATAAATCAGTGCCATTATTAATGTTCGGCTTCCACATCGACGGCACCGAAGGATCCTTATTGGCCGGCTCCGGAGAACTGGGTACTTCCCAATTAGTATCCTGATTAACATGCTGGCATCCCCAGCCATCCTGTGAGAAAAGAGCCTCGCGCATTGTATTCAATTGTTTTAATTGATATTCAGCTCGACTAGCATGTGGCGCATTCCTATAGTGACACCCAGTAGTCTCGACTATATTTGTATTAGCATTGTCATCATCGTCATTGTCATTAAATGAACTTTTAAGGCTGTCGGTATTAATCTTGTTTTCAATTGTTAAACTCTGCTTGCTCCTTTAAGAATCGACACATATATATATATATGTATAGTTATATACATACATACATATATATATATATATATATATATATATATATATATATATATTTATGTTTGATGTTTAATATTTTCGAAATACAGACTGTTGTTGATATTGCCTGGAAAACAAAAATTATTATTAGCTAGAAAAATAAGAAATATAAATATAAATATTTCCTGAATATCTCCCGAACTGACGAGATTCGTTATTAAAAAGTTTAGGCGCACAAAACAAATATTACTGTTGGTGCTTGTACATGGGACAATGTATTTTTTTTTAATATTGACATATTTTATATATCTTTTAACGTATATTATACTTTTTTATTTCACTTAAATCGGTGTTTGGAGTACTTTTTGTTTAACAGATACATATTTACAATTTAACAGAAAAGTGTACTTGTGTGTGTGCATTTGTGTTTCTGCCCGAATGTATAAAAACATACTTGACAACTCTGGTCAGTAGTCATTGACGCAATCACCCTATTTTAACTCTGTACTTTTATTCACACATACATTTGCAGATACACAAAAAACACACAGGCATAAGCACTCACACTAAAACACAAACACACACATCTATATATACGCACAACGAATCAACAAATATGCTATAATACACACACACAGATTTTTTTTTGTAATTTTTTTTTTATGCATATCAAGTATATAAAAGAAGCGCATCCACAAAAATCAATCAAAACTTATGTTCAAGGAGAAAATGAATTTAATTTTTTTACAATATTGAAAGTTAGGTCAAAGTCTTCATATTTAAATTTTCATTCGGTAATTTTTAACTGTTGCACATTTAAATATACTATGCTTTGTACAAATAAATTCTAATTTTTTTTTTGCATTTATCGATTAAAATTATATTTTCTGTACAAATAAGTACTTATGTATGTATATAGAAAGACAGATACACACATATACATTTGCATGTATGTTTGTATTATAAAAGCCAAGCCACTTCGACGATTTCACAAAGTATGTATGTACGATTTTTTAGGAACATCTGCATGCGAAATTGAACTCGTGCTTCACAAAAATTGCACGATAATTCGAACAGAATAATTAAATCACACTTTATGTTCGTTTTTTGTATAACACAATTCCAATAGAAAGTAATATATTTAATACGGTTTAGACAAAGGAAATTACTTTTTCGGTAAGAAAACGATCAAACCACACGTTCAATGGGACGGGACAATTTACTACTGTATAAATGGCTGCTCGCGCAATGTTGCCACCTAGCCAGATTTTTTAAGAGCCCACAGTATATATATATAAACTTTTGTGGACATTCCCTGTAAACCACTTAATCCGTCTGGAAAGACCTGTTCAATTCCATAAATATTTTTCTCAATAATTAAAATATAACTACGTATACTTTGTTTTACGAATTTGTATAATTATTGTCTTATATAAAATAATTAAAACGTGGCAACTCTTTGTTAAAACTCTAGCTATTTCTTTCTAACTTACGAACATGAAAGAGACATAATTGAATGCATACATTTTTATGTATATACATGTGTTAGACTCTGTTATCCATGAAGATTTGCGGTTATGCACGTCTTAGGTGCTCTTACTTATTAAAGGCACAATCTTAAAATACATTTCAGAGTTCTAAATGTTCTAATAGTATTGTTAATTTTGATTTAATTCGTACTTTTTACCTATTTTAAAACGCACTTCAACCGATACGTTGTTCTCGCTCACTCTTTTTCTTTAAATACGTGTGACCGTTAGTGGTGAATGTGAAAATACCCAAAAATAAGTAACATAACGTAACACAATAAAGCTATGCGCAGGCTAAAAATAAAGGAGAGTAACGTAATATGTACATAGAAGGAAATACGTAATCGTAAAAAAGCTGTAACTTTTAAAATATTAAGACATTTATTTTTTTCTAGTTCCACTTTAAATTCTTCATATTTTGGTAAAAAGATTATTACAAGAAAATATTTGGAATCGTTTTAAATTTAAATAATAAATGTGGTCACAAAAATGATCATCAAAGAATAATAATGTTCATTTAACAGAGTAACCTCACATTATTGAAAATTGGTGTGCGCCAACGCGCTGCTACTTGCCTGGAAATAAAGCTCAATATTGAAATAAATTGAAATACAAATACAAATTGAAAGTCTAAGAAATATTTTTTCTACTGCTCTGTATTAAAAAAATAAAAGGAACTCATAGAATTCTTAATGTCAGCAATCAACCATGAAAAAACCAGGGATCAGATGAAATAGATCTAGGGCCAAGCTGTTTCAATGTATTACCGATCTGAGACCTACATACATATATACTAAATACCATTTGCCATTTCATGTAATGTAAAATTTTAATGCGTATGTATAAATTGAAGTTCAAAGAAGAAATTAATTAACGGACTGTAATCGATGTAATAATTTACAAAATGCAATTGCTTCCGACGTAGTACAGCGTACTGGAATTTTACCTGGTAACTAGACGAGTCAAAATAATTTAGAGTTCCTAAGTAGCAAATGTGTATGATGCTTCATTTACATACACGTAAGCCAAAAAACAAGACAAATTATCGATTCTTATCGATAAGGAAATGGAATGAGTTATCGAAAAAAAGTTAAACGTGTACTGCGTACGTAGTTCAAAGAAATAAATTAACGGATTGTAATCGAAGGTTTGACTCCCTAAAAATAAAAAAATATATTATAAATAGTATGAAATCAAAACAAAACAGTATAAAATCAATTTAAATTGAACATTAGCCGTTGACCCTAAACAATATTTTTGATCTTTTTTGCTTCGCTTGCCTGAAAAGATCTTATAATAATATGTATCGACATTTGATCTGTATTGTTTTTTTATTGAATTTTCGGTTCCTTTATGTTTTGTGAACAATTTATAAAAAAATAAATGATGCTACAAATAAATACATGGGTATGCAATGTATAAATAATACTTGTTGAAGTCCAGAACCTTAAGATATAAACCAACCTACAATAAACGCTATTATACATATATAATAAATATAAATAAAAATATATATATATATATATATATATATATATATATATATATGTTTATATTATACATATGTTATATATAAATTTTATTTGTATGCGCGCATATGTTTACAAATGTTAAAATATTAACGAAATTAAATCGATTTTAGCCTCAAGAGTTACAAGGCATATGTATGCGGTGTATATAAGTGTGTGTATATATATATACATTTCGACATATTTCGAAGTAATTTTTTAATTTTATTCTCTTTATTTTTTATTATAGTAATTGTTTTTCTTTTTGCTTTTCATTTTGTATTGGACGTTAAATGCGCATACCACCGTTAAATGACTCGGTTGTTGGCTGCGCAGTTCCGTTACTTTGAGTTGCAACACAAGACGCGTCTGTGTGACGCCGTAAAATAACATGTGAATATTGAGAGCGAATTGAATTTGAATTGAAATTTATTTAAATTAAAATTTACTTTCAATTTAGCATAATATGACGTTACACTCTTGAAAACATGGCGTTTTGATTAAACATAGTAGATGGAAACACTGCACCACAATCTTTAAATATGCAAACTGAATGTAAATATTTTGCTTTGTAATTTCGCTATTTGCGATCATACGGCGGTAGCAGCCTTAATTTCATAAATATATATGCATATTTACTTACAGCTAATAAACTACAAAATGTACCTTAATATATATATATATGTATGTAAATAATTTATATCATCTTGTGTCTTAGATCATTTATCTTGTATATGTATTTAACACAACTTAAAGATGTTGACTGCAACTGTGTTTACTATATATATATATATATATATATATATATATATATATATATATATATATATATTCACAGTCAAAACCATTAAGGTGTATTATATGTTCTTGTGCCATGAATCATATATTTTTATAATACAGCTAAGTTTTTGACTCTGTTCGCACAACTGTGCTTACTCTTTACTTTATGAAAGTTAAATCCAAAATAAAATGTACACATAAACACACACACACACAAATAAAACTCATGTCCAAAGTCTATGTTGTCTAAACGAACGTGCGCGTAGTCAACACAATATAACTGCTGCGGTTCAGCCATTATGTTATCGTCACCGGGCTTCAATTCGATTCGACTTAATATTCGCTCGTACCACATTTACATATCGTGTCGTCTAAGCCACTTAGCGACGTCGGACAAGTTAGGCCCGATATCCAAAGTATAAATGATATATGTTTATATATTTACACCTTTTTACTTTTAGACTTAGACTTAGCCCATATCTAAATATATATATATATATTTATATAAACTTATAGATTGATGCTGATTATATTATTGTATCCAGCTGTCTTGCCTGATGTAAAATCTTCTTTTGATGTCCTACTAAAGTAATACCCATATCCGATAGCAATTGTGCTGTTAATCTTGAGATCTGTAAATATAATAATAATAATGTTTTGAATAGAATGTTGGATTGTCGTGAGGAGGAGTCCAGTAGACGTACCTGTTGAGCACTCACTAAATTAGCCTCTCTAAAGTGTTGACTGTACCGAGACATTTTAATATTCTCCAGCCATAGATCAGTGCTTATAAATATGTTATGACCACGTTGTGTATCCAATATATGTGTACTACTATCATTTTCTGGTGAATTTCGTGTCGTTAACAACGATTGCGGTTGCCTGGCCAAATTGTCCAAAGTTGATACAATGCTGGCAAATGTGGGTCGATGCGTTCGTTGCTTTTGCCAGCAATCCAGCATTAACTGGTATAATGCCTCCGGGCAATCCATTGGCGCTGGCAAACGGTAACCCTTCTCAATGCTCTTTATAACATCCTGATTAGAAAGAAATGAGATATTCATAGTTGTAGGCATCCCTACAGACAGACACTGTGCAAGCTTACTTGATTTGACCAGTTCCAATAGGGACGTTCGCCATATGACATTACTTCCCATAGAACGACTCCATAAGACCAAACGTCCGATGCTGATGTAAATTTACGAAATGCAATTGCTTCGGGCGCAGTCCAGCGTACTGGGATTTTACCGCCCTGTTAAGTAGATGAATCAAATTAATTAAGAGTTTACAACTAGCAAATGTATATAAGGCTTCATATACATGCACGTAAACACATAAACAAGACCAATTTTCGATTTTTATAATATATAAGTCAAACGTGGTATCGCAGACCTTCCAACCTATATGTGATTGATCAGGGCGACGAGCTGAGACGATCTATTCATGTTCGTCCGTCAGTCAATCTGTCTATCCGTAAGTACGCATCTATTTCGTTAAGCACAAAACATAATGAAATTATAAAATTTTAAATCCATATGTCATACGAAGTTTTAATGAATACAGATATTATGAATATTTCGGACTTCGATACCTGATCTGATCCAAACCTATATTTAGATTATCTGCACAAATATACTATTTACGCCAGGTGGGTAATGAGCACATCGGGTAGACTTACGCGAGTGGTATAGGCATCGCTGGCATTTTCGATTTCGCGCGACAAACCAAAATCGGCAATTTTACAAATAAGTTGAGCATTGACGAGAACATTGCGAGCTGCCAAATCCCGATGGACGTAATTCATGTCACTTAGATAGGACATGCCGCTAGCAATACCACGGAGCATCACAATTAGCTGCAGCGTTTGAAATTTGCCATCGTTGACACGCAAAAATGTATCCAGACTTCCATTTTCCATATATTCGGTTATAATCATCACTGGATTGGAGCGCGTAACGACGCCTTGCAGGTATATAACATTTGGGTGATCGAATTGTCCCATTATTGAAGCCTCCGTTAGAAAATCGCAACGGGCCTTCTCTGATGACCCTGAAAAAGAAGAGATAGGTATGCATTTACTATTGGGGCCTGCGTCTCTTGCTATTTTGGCTGAAGTTTTCTGTGCTATGTACGCCTTGGATAAAATGTCCACAAGGGAAGACTAGGACATAAGATCCGATAACCTACACGTTGTTATCACACACTTAGCTCTATTTAATACGATTGCCATCTCTTAGCTGCAGCGAGCAAAACTCCGTCGGCTTAAGGTGGAAAACGGGGACACAAGTGTAATAGCAATAAATAAATAAAGTTTAAATTCAATAAATGTTGAGTGGTTGAGGTGTATGAAAATGCCAGGTCAAGCTTTAAAGACGATCATAAACTAGTCCAGCTGTCACTATGCTGTTGTATTATTTACTAAAGCTATAAATGTTTTTAAATGACCTCAATACTAGAAATGATGAAGCTCAATACTAGAAATGATGAAGCTATCAACTAGAAATGTTGCAAAGTTAAAATATTTTGAGATTTTGCTAGTAATGTCGTTCTCAAAAATAAAATTAATACATTTCATGTCTCAATATAGCTAGAATTCTTCCCAGCCGGGAGACGTATCACACATCTAACGTATAATGCATACTGAACACGAGTAAATGTATACTATCGATATATAGTACCTGGTTTTAAGGTTTTGATTGCTACGTCAATATCCTGGACAAAGTTTGGCGGAATCTTAAGGCGTCCACGGCACACATCTCCGAATTCTCCTCCACCTAAATTGAAGGGATGACGACTTTTAAAATTTGTTTTGAAAATCGTAAATTGATTTCGTTTTTTTACCAATTATTGCTTCGATTGTAATATAATTTGCATCGATTTCACGAGCGAATTCCCTGATTGCTTGGTTAGGATCCTCATAAGTGTGCGGATCCACATAACTGCGACTACTACCAAAGAGAGGGGTCGTCACTGAAAGAAAAAAATTTATTGAAATTAATAACGAGAAAGTTTATAAATAACGTATATTCAAATGAAAGCATTCCTTAACAATCAAAATAGATTTATTAATATTTATATAGATATATGCAATAATACAATAACTTTAAAACTCTAAGTAGCTTCCCACAACCATAAATCAAAACATAAATAAATTATATACCATTCGAATGTAGAGTCTTGACAATTGGAGTTGTATCCATGGCATTTACTAAAAGGAAAAATAATATTTTAAACACATTTATCGCAAGTTTAACAAAAATATATTTAAAACAAGTTAGAAAGCTCTAGTCGGCGGTGCCCGACTAGTAGATACCCTGATCCCAGTCCTCTGAGTTTTTTAATATTTTCCGTAGTTTGTATCGAGTATTAAAAAAAAGAAAACAAATAAAAAGCGACATTGCGAGACCAGGTTTCGAACTCGGACTGTTTGCGCAACGTGCACCAACTCTACCAACACCGACACTTCATAATTAAACAAAAAAATTAAACCAAAAAATGTCTCGTCGCCGCGAGGATTGAACCCGACACTAAACGCCAACGAGCGCCGCTTCTATCAACGCAACCACTGCACCTCTTGCAAGAAGAGTTGCAAATTTGAGTTGAGTAGCAGCTGATAGTTCAACCAGTATTCAATCGCAATTTCGATTCTTGGAATAGAAAAGAATACACGCGTTTGAGTGTATGTATGCACACGCATAGGAAAAATGCGTGCGCGTGGCGCTGCTGACATCTGCATTTGCAAATTGGCCAAACGTTTTGTTTAAAACTTCTGTTCTACTTAATGGATTTTAATCCATAACATAAAACTAAATACAAAATTTGGAGGCTCTAGCTCTTAAGACATCCGAGATATAATTTATTAACTGCATTTCAATCATGTTTTCATTCGATAACAATTAAATGCGAATAGTTATCGAATATTTGAAACAAACTTGACCTGCGCGTGCTATACACGGACCTACAAAAAATTTCAAGTCTCTAGCTCTTATAGAAGCTGAGATCGACGCGTTCACACATACGGACAGACGGACAGGGCTCAATCGACTTGGCTTGTCGTTCTGATCAAGAATATAAATACTTTATGGGCACACTTTATCTGCACAAAACCATTATACCCTGATTTCCCATTTTCAATGGGAAATACCCTGATATAAAAATATACAATTATAGACCAAATATGAATAAAAAATAAAATATAATCTTCTGTATATGTTTATATTACTAATATATCAAATATATCTTACTTTGGTGTCGAAAAATGTTTGAGAAAAAAAACTTACTATATGTCACAACGAGTCCTTAAGAAGAGTTTCGGGTTTGGTTATAATATGAAGGATAGGGATATAATAAATAATTAATATTTGGATTATTCAGAATTCATTAGATTTATAAGAGGTTGACAAAACAAAACAATCCAAAACAAATCAAAGTAAAGTAAAATTAAATCGCTTTACGCTTGTATACGCAGATGTTTATAGTTAGAGTACTAGAAAATATATTCATATGATTTATTATTACTATGAGATACCCTGCACCCGGTGCACAGAGTTGCGATTATGGTCAGATCCAGCTATATGTATTTGATAAAGTCAAGTCTCTACTAGATTGAAGACGTTCCTACAGGTCTAAAGTAGTACACTTGAGTGCGCGAATTATCAATTTAATAAATATGGAAGAGGCATACAGGAATATATATTTTCAGTGCAGTGTACGAAAACGAAGTGCAGTTTTAATGCCTGGTTCGGCTACTGTTTTCTTGGCTCCCAATAACTCTAGTTAGTCAAGCTGATTCTGCATAAATATACTCTGATAATAAACTCTGAGTCTCTAAGCGAACAAGAACTTGTTGTGCAATTGAGCTAAAAAAATGTTTGCTAAATTTTCGGATTATCTGGAATTTTAGACAAGTTTGTACATATTTTATCAAATACATAGTTCTTTAATATAAATATTTAAATTGCATTGTATGAATAAATTTTTTGGATAATTACCTTCATTACTAGCGTATTCCATTGGTAATGGTAGATGGTTAGTGGACTTCTTGTCGAGTTCGTCTTGATGTTTAGACCTCATAAAATAGACAGTTGCGACGATAAAGATGACCAGGAAGAATACGCCAGTCACTATGGCTCCAGCAATAAATCGTATTTGCATTGAATCTTCATAGACTTTTAATAAAAAGAGAATTACAATTGTTAGATATTTATATGTGATGTGCTTAAGAGGGATTTTTCTTACTACTGTCAACTCTCCCTACTTGAAAAACAGACACAGATCGTATGAGGAACAAGTAAGAGTGTTTTACTCTTCTCTTACTTTTGTGGATTACAAGATCGCTGCTTCTATAAGGTCAGGTCCTCCTGTAACATGCATTTTCATAAAAACCAATTCACCCTGTATCTCGATTTGGAACTGATCTCTGTGAAAAATGCTATTTGCTATTTGCCTATAGTTTAAGCATAATATCAAAATACCAAAAGAAATGTTTTCAGGCATGAACATACTGTAGTATAAGATAAATAAGACCCGAAGCAATGTAGAGTATTCTGCATATAGATGCGTCATATGCCTAACATATGATAGTGTATACTAAATACGCATATAGTGACATTTGTCCCTACGCATAAACATAGGGCGAGCGCAAAGATAAACAAATGTAATATGATCAGCCACTTATGGTCAGACCACAGCAGCGCGGGAGATGCCGCGTACGTACTTTGCCTAAAGCCTATGCCGCTTGCCTAATGTTTATGCCATATGCATATAAGTATATACAAGCTATACATATGAAGCTACACAACGGGAGAGCATAGTATGTCTCCCGCTTGGAGCTCCACTCATTACATAATGTACTTAGGCTAAGAGATGAAATACGCATGAGCCAGGGTATAAGAACTCTTGCTCAGACGAATAAAGATCATTACACAACTGAACACCACCCCAGTTATTTGAATTCACAAAATGAGTTTAAGAAAAGGGAAAGTTGACAGCCGACAAGTTATGCATAATTAGAGCAATAGTTACCTGTACTGACAGATTGGTGGGTTTGGGCATAGACCATGTTGCTATAAGAACCAAAACCGTTTACTGTTTTACAACGTACTTGGAACCCATATTCAGTATTTTCGATTAGGTTATAAATTTGAGCTTTTGTTTCTTTTGTGTTTAGTGTGGTGTTATTGATTGTTTCCATTTCGGATTTGGGAAACCAACGGACTTCATATAGCTCAATGGGTGTATCACTCTGCCCCGGCTTATCCCAAACTAGACTAGCATCGTTGCTAGTTATGGAAACAACTCTTAAATTGAACACAGTCGTGAGCATCACGGACTCCGTGGTAAATACAATTTCAGCATATTTTGTCCGAATTTCGCTGAGATCTAGCTGATGGCCATTAATATTTGAAAAGTTTGAAGTATTACTAAACGCATTATCACTGCTCGAATAGGTTTCATTGGAATAAAGTCCGGTATCGACCAAATATGATATGCTGTTCGTAGCATGAATCTGTACAGTATATGTTGTCACTGGTTCTAGATTCGTGAGTGTTATTTTTGTTTCATTAAACGTATCCGCCGATGGATTAAACATAACATTTGAATTGCAGCTACTGCAACGCACTTTATATACAACATCTGTGCGGTATTTCTCGAGACCATTGGCTGTTGCCAGCTGGTTATCATCTTTTGCTGGTGCTGACCATGATATTATTGCACTAGTTTGATCCACAAATAATAGTGTCAGATTCATTGGCGCATTCGGCGGTTTGTAGCATGGCATATGCCTGCCATCAGCTGGATGCCTATAGTAGCCCGTTAGACAGTTGCACATTGGTGATCCGGTCTTCGAACTATTCGAATTGGCTGGACATGATACACATTTACGTACTTCAGCAGAGCGAAATGTACCAGCAGGACATTCTGAAAAAGAAAAAGCGAAATGATATACTTAAGCTTCATACAGATCAGTTCAGTTTATTACAGATCATTTTAAGCTTATTCTTTACATAGACTAGGCAGGTTGAAAGAATTGTAGGGGATACTTTATATTTATATTCACATATATCAATAACTTTTTCCTTGACTATATCTGTGTCTATATATATATATATATATATACACTGACGAGCAAAACTGTAACACATGTTCAATGTTCTCTGGACTAGGAATCCCACAGTCCAATCGGCAAATACAGTGCGGTGCACGGTGGCGGGTCCATAATGGTTTGGGGCTGTATTTGTACAAATGGAGTTGGGCCCTTAGTGTTAATTGATGGTATAATGCGTAAGGAGCAATACCTAAAAATTTTTCAAGAAAATTTGGGAGGAGTCATTGGCAACATGGGTCTGGCTGTTGAAAATTGCATTTTTCAGCAAGACAATGACCCAAAGCACACATCCCATTTGGCGAAAAATTGGTTATTGAACCAAAGGTCTCAAACTATGAAGTGGCCACCGCAATCTCCAGACATGAATACCATAGAAAATGTATGGAGCCATCTGAAATCGCAGCTTGCGAAATATGCGGCCCCTCCAAATGGCAGGATGGAGTTATGAGAGAGAACGAAGGACGTTTGGTACTCGATTCCACCTGAAATGGTGCGACGCTACACGCAAAGTATGCCAAACCGTAGAAACAACCTCAAAAAATCAAAAGGGCTGTGGACCCGTTATTAAAAAAAATTTAATAAAAATATTTGTTTAAAAATATTTGCAGTGCAAAACTGTAACATTTGACTTTTTTTACTCTTTGCTATTGTATTTCTCTTATTGCTAATCAAATGTCTTCAAATTTATAGATAAAAGAGCCAAATATTTCACTAACAAAACAAGACTATGATCATAATCATGCATAAAGTATAAAAGATAATACAGACCGTTGAAGTGAGAACATTGAACATGTGTTACAGTTTTGCTCGTCAGTGTATATATACCCTGAGAAAGCTGGCACAGCCTGGCGGTGGGGTTAACTGATCGCCAGCCGCAATAACGATCGCCATGACGGCCATGCAAAATAAAAGTTGCCGAATAGAGCAAAGAAAGATCGTCATTTCAATAACCAATAAATCATTGGAGATAACTAAAATGGTAACCCCGACCTGAACCTCATTTCTTGGTAATCGTGAACGTTTTAAAAAAATAATATTTTAAATGTTGGAAAACCGTGCAGATCTCTTCGCACCGCTCTCAAGGAGCACGGAGTGAACACCGAAGTAACAGGAAACAATGCCCCTTCACGAATCCACCATTTCGATTCCCTGGCATGCCGAGAGCCAGGATCGAAGATGGTTCTTGGTGAAACGCACCCGAGGTCAACCGATACACTAAAGTAGATATCATTGCTCTCCCTGATCGTACTGACCGAAGGTCAACAGCAAACGTTCCTTTCACGAGTCTCGTCTTCACCTAACAAATCGGAAATCACAGCAGAAGTACAAGGCAGCGTCCCTATCAAGCAACAACAGTTCAGCAGTAAAAGTCGTCCATTATAATGTGAATGGTGCAGTTGCAACACAAAAGCCAATTCTCAGCAACAGTGACGTTTACAGTCACCGCTGTTGCAGCAGCAACAACAGACAGCATATTCTGCCATCCTCGTATCGAGTTTTATAATCGCACACAATCTCCCAGTCGACCTACTATTGATTGATGCCGAAGCCAAACTATCAACGGCTGAAGAAATAATGAGCGTCTGAATGGACAATCTCCACTCATTGGCAAGCATTGTTTCCGCGACATGAGCAACTAACTACGGCAGCACACTTATGCAACACAACGTAGTGCAACGAATCCAAAAAGCTGGAAGTGCTATTTTCGATAAATGGTTGTTAGCCCGAGACGAAATAAGGCAACTTCTGGAGCCAACTGACACTGGTCACTGAGCTCATAGACCGCTCGGCCAACCACGTGTACTGCTACATAGACAACACACTAGGGCGACCGGAGAAGCACGAAGCACGAAGCACGGCTTATGAAAACTCCGAGCAAATGCAAATCTTGTCACACAACAAAGTTAACCCATTGTCAGGAAGTGGCAACGCTTTCGCAGGGTAGATTTGAGGATAATTTGGCAACGCTTTTGCAGGGTAGGTCAAAGCTGAGGTTTAAGAAATAAGTATAATCTGAACAGCGGAAATCAAGCCCATTAGAAATATAATATAATCGAAAAGCAGAATATATTATTTTTGACAGACTTACCTGTACAAGTGTTGTTAACATCATTGGGTTCGTAGCCAACTTTGCAACGACAACCACCTGTTAGAATTGTCCATTTGCCATCACCTTTGCATAAATACGTGGGCGCTTCATAAGGCTCAGCATTCTCAACACATGTGCCGTTCTGTTTTTCAATTATTGTTATCTCCCGTCCGGTGGGCGTTTCATTGAAATGAGCAAAGTTCTCGGTTACCGCTGGACATGTTATATAATAGACTTTAACGGCCAGAACACTGATGCAAGCGCCTTGATCACGAAATGCAAAATATACACCTTTTTTGCTGACAGCTATACTTTTCACTTCCGTATTAATATCTACATCAGAGTTTTGATTGAAACGTCCCTCGCCAGCCGCAATTCGAGCAATCAGTTTATAACTATCTGTTTGCCAAGGCGGTGGCTCACGTGTTGCTGCATCAAATTCGTAGAACAACAAACTGAACGTTTCCTTACAGGACAGGGCATTTCCTATTTTGAATATGAATATATTAATACATTATTTATAATATCGAAATATTTGTATATTTGTATATTACCTGGAAACAGCGAACAGTCTCGTATAGTAAATTGTATTTCAATATATAGCCGATTCGCTGGCCCACGATCAATGAATGGTGACCAGAGCCAATTGTTAACATTGTGATATGCAACATCACAGACAACATAGCTGCGCCAATTGATGCCCTTTACAAAGTCTGTAAATGATTCCTCAACCCACTTCATGAAATGGGTGAAAGTGACACCCCGAATTAGTACAGTATTGGCATTATTTTAAAAATAATAAATAACTATGCATCTTCTAGGAGAGATCTATATAAATCCTATTCTCTTCGAGTTGTCCTCATATCAATTTACATATAACAAATCGTTGCGACAAGCTGTCATAAATGAGTTAATATTTTGAGAACTAAATCATATTCGAATAATTAACTTAATGTTTTAAAATTTAAATATATTATTTAGCTCATCAGTACATTACTCGGTGTTGATTATGGTAAAAACTTATTAAAAGTTTTATTGAACACCTTAATAAAACTTTTGTGCCAGTTTAAAGATGCTATGCAAATACTATTTAGACTAAAGATGCCCTTAGTAGTCTTAAAAATAAAAGAATATATTATAATGAAATTTAAATACGTACGCCTGGAGTTTGAGCCTGAGGACCGTATGGATACCTTGTCCATTCCAGAGTAGCTTCTCTCGTCGTGTCTAATAAAACAACTTTAAATACAAGAAATAGAATAAGCACAAAAACAATACATAATTAAGTTCTTGTGCTCACCTTGATCAGCATTTGCAATTTGTAAATTGCAAATTGGACCAATTATCCAAATCAATAGGACAATTGAGAATTTACTGAATGGAATTATGGAAGTCAGTTTGAAGTTTTTGGTTCTTATGGAAATATCCGTATCATGACTACTCCGATTTTGGTTTGGACATTGTATTTGGAACAGTCGAAATGTCCAGTGCATTGTTGGCATTTTATAAATGTTTTAAATGCAGTTTGTGTATAAAAAAAAAAATATATATATATATATATATATATATATATATATATATATATTTCTCCGTCGTACTCAAGCTACGAAGTCTGTTGAGTCTGCCTTAGAAGGAATGAGTCAATTAAATACATCTCGATCATTATCCAATTCGATTCACACTATATGTAAAATTGAAGATTAAAAAAATAAAATATTTATTATTTTATTATTATTTCAAATATATAAATAAATATATAATTGATCAAAAATTTTTTTTTGTAATAAAAATAATAAAACCTATTATAGTTAGCGGTGTCAGCAGTCGAGCACTCCCATATAAATATATGCGGACACCGTAATTTATAATAGGTTTTATGAAGTTTAAATGTGTATCTATACATTTATAAATATATACAAATATTCGATATATTAAACAAAATTTAAATTCAGCACTTTATTAATTAATAAAAGTTTATTTTAATTAATAAATACATAGCGGACTGCCCTTATAGAAGATGCATCACAATTTTTGTTTACAATCTTCGTAAATGCCCTAAGGGAAATTTTTTATAAGCCGCTTTTTGTTTATATGTTTGCTGGGATGACAATAGAAGTCTTTGGCTACATACATGCATGTTTGCATGCATATGAAAATGCATGTACATACTTTGCCTGCATGTGTATTTACAAACGGATCTTTATATGCATATGAGTATGTATGTGACAGCACTCAAACATCCATTTCCCGAAGTAGTATAAACGCAATATATTAATCGCATACATATAGTTTACAATAAATAGCATTGATATTTATGCGTTACACAAAACAATATTTTTGTTAATTTTCTAAAATTAATTCTATAAACACTTAATCTTCACACGACAAATACATATTTGTCTTTTATATGTATGTGTAAATAAATACATACATAACCAAGTATGTGTATACACACATTCACTTTTCAAGCCTTTTTTTTTTTAATTAAATTTTTTAAATTAAAATTTTCTTTGCATAAAGATCCGGGAGATTATCAATTTATCACATTAACACCGCACATTTTTTAATCCGTTGAATCATTTTTGTTTTCATTTAAGCGAAATATGCACATGTATACACATCAATTTCTAAAAAATGTGCTGCCACACTTTAGAGTTTTCAACATTCAACATCTCTATGATGTTTACCAACATTATTGGTCGACATACATTCGGAAGCAAGTTGCTTTGAAATTATATTTTTATCGAATAGTAAATAATCGATTAAACAATATTTACTCTGTTCATATTATTATTACTTATATATTATTCACTAATTTTCTGTTGCACTTATAAGACCAGGCATATTGAAAACGGAATAGGTCTTTGGAAATGTGAATGCGATCACGTAGTTTTTACGAGAATTCCATTTTTAGCGATGGAGCTTTACTTTTTGCGTATTTCATTGAATTTAAGCAATTAAGTTACACATAGGGCACTCGCGGAACATTTACCGAGAGCATCAAGGCATCGATACTACTTAATGAAGTTTTGTTTGATGTAGACTATCGCTTACTATTCGAGATGTGCAAATAACAGCTGATTACAACTGATTAACACTATTCCGATTATATATTCATTTATGCTCATTTTGTGTCCTATATTTCAAAGTGTTGAGCAAAAGAGAGTTATTACAAAATATGGTATATCAATATTTTAAATATTAATATAAATGCAAATATGAAAGCATACAAAAAACAAATATTAACTAATGCAGTTATGCACGAGGCCTCAATTTTTGTGGGAGGATTCAAGTTAATTTTAGCTGCGTAGAAGTAGAAAGTTCAAATAAGTCTAGGAGTTAGGTCAATATATTTTGTTTTGCATGAGGATTTTCACAAATAAATATTATATACTTTAAAGAAGAAATCGGAAAACTGAAGCATAAGCGATTTTTAAACGTACAAATTGCCCTTTCTTACTTACCTCAATAATGAATCGAATAATATTCTATTCGAGCTTTTACATCTTTTTTTTATCAAAATATTCAATGGGAAAGTAACAAGCCTACAGTTCTATTCGATTAAAAAGTTTACTAGAGATTGCAAACGATACAATAATATAGTGTGACCAAATAATGTGTTGTAAATTATACAGAAAAAGATCTGCACGAACTTGAAAAATCAATATAATTCACATTACATTATTTTTGCAAATAGTTAAGTTCGTTTATAATACTAATATTCGAAGGCGCAATATTATATATTTTGACTTGAATCGCTGTATTACGCAAGTAAATTTAAATATTGTGGAATATAATATAAAAGTTTAAGCCGTGATTTTGTGTAAGTTGTTAAGATGTCCAATTATAATCTTATTATTAGAATTATAAAAACAATATGTGTATAAGATTTTTGAAACGCATATTGTGAATCATATATCAATATGTATATAGTACATCGATTTGCATATTAATATAACAAATTAGATACTTGCGAACAGATTGTGCTCTATAAAATTTTGATGAATACTTCATGCAAGTGTGTACATACATATCTAAACTTATATATGTAGATATATACATACATCTGTAGATGTGTATTAAAGCGTATGCTCAATCTGACATACATATATTAATTTCAAGTTAATCCAGATAAATCGATCACACTTTAATCATGACTTTATGAACTTTATTTATAATATCGCATATATATATATATATATATATATATATATATATATATATATATATATATATATATATATATATAACTACATAGGTGTATATTGAAGTGTTTATTTAAAACTAACAAATGTAAACAAAACATAGACTACATTTAAATCTATGTGTGTAAACGCCCATTCATATATAAGTGTGAGTGAGTAAGGATGTACAAATGTATGTATTAATTGAATGTTTGAAATTTTAAGATCTATAAATTTCACAAGTTAATCTAAATATTCATAGAAAAATCCATAAATTCGTTATTTTTATTCATACATTTATATGTATATGTATATGTATGTATATATGTATGTACGTAGGGATTTATGAGTATTATTTATATAATGTAAACAGTATTTTTAAAACCTAATCAGTTCGAAGTAACCTTTGACTGTTCAAAATAATTGCATGTTTCTTTATTTACTATATATACATACTTATACGTATACGTATATATGTGTATATGTATATATTTACGTGAAGGTTGAGAATAACTCGTAAGGAAAAATATTCAATTTGTGATATTTTTTTGTTTTTGTTTTGAGTAAGGCATCTGGTTAACTTTAGACAGTTTCAAGTCGAATAGTTCTTAAAGCTCATGTGCATTTCTTATACTTTGCACGTAATATTAAAACTCTATATTTTAAATGTATTGATCAAGTTTTATACAGATTTTGAAGTCTCATATATCAAGATTGCTAGGTGAAATATCAGGGAATAGATTTCCGTTTTTGATTTTATCTTGTATATGAATTTTCAAGTTAATATTTTAAGACTCTGGCGTAGTCTTATATGTGAGAGCCCATCTTAAGTTGGGCATCTGTACGGTACTAATTTTTAAATGCCTTGTTAACATTTTACATAGACTTTGAAGTCTTACATTTTGAAGGTCTTAGTTGAAATCTCATGCAAGTTTTAATATAAAGTAGATAATAGCACCTCAAGGTAGAATATACAGTCTACCAATTAGGCATGCCCAATGGGCGGTCTTTATATATTCGAAATCCCAAAGTATTAATACATATATTACTCACGTCACAGTTAGGACGGTTGTTAGCTTTTGTCATTAGTCCCAATATATTGAAAACTATTGAGATATTGAGAGTATTCATTACGAGATTTCGAAGGAATTACAAATTGGAATCAGATTGAAGTGTCAACCTTACATAAGTTTTAATTTAACATTTATTTAGTTTAACAGAAACTTGAAGAAATTATTCATAAAATTTTCTGTTACTATTTGCTTTTGCTGGGGTTGTATGGATGAGAAATGTGTGTATATCTTCATCAGGATGTAGACAGCTTTGGAATAAATCGAATAATAAGTAATCGAAAGTTTACGGCTCAAATTTGACAGTAAAACGTTCATTGAGAAGCAGGATTTTTATTTCCCGATGTTCAAATAGGATAAGCTGCGATTCAGCTGTCGATCCAGAAAAGTTGAGACATTTCTCTATCGATTGACTTTTGGAGTTTCTGTAATTTCAACTCAGACTTAAATCTGGTGTTCTATTGATACGTAATTTAGCAATCCCCGTATTATTTTCAGTTGCTGCTCTCGTATTTCAATGTTTTTATTACTCTGAATTACTCTGAGTACCTCAATAAGAAGTAATTTAACAACTACAGCATTGTCCATAATTCAGTCGTTTTCGTTTATTTATTTATTTTAAATGAAATTGCAACAGTTTTTATAAGTTTTGTACAATCTGCTTTTTATCTTTAGTGCTTGCTTAAGTTATCTGGAATACGGTATATGGAACGTGTTTAGCGTCCATGTCTGGCAGACTTCAATTTAAACAAAATATAATAAAAATCAAAATTGTATAAAATTGTGAATTTCGACAATGTATTTTAATCAATTATAATCTGCTTGTGCGCCTCCTTCATGTGCCAATTCTACAACTTGAGCTTTTTTCACTATCAATATAGCTAAGCTTTATACAGCTTACTGTATATTAAAGATAATGGTTTCAAAAATATTTCCTTTACAGACTCTTGAAAATTTTGAAGAGTTGGTCAACAGAAAAGAAAAAGTATTCAAGTTTCTTTGAAAAGTTTCGATGATAAATTTATTGGTAAATTGATTTAACCAAAGTTTTGAAGTGATGCCACTATTTGGCAAAAAAGATTCTGGCAAAAGGCCCAAGTCGAAGGACACGAAGGAGTTGAACAAACAAGTCTCAATTGAAGAGAAATACAATCTACATGGTCTACTGGGAACGTAAGTATATATCTCTATACATCTCTTTATATATTTTAAAAATTGTGTTTTTTGACTTTCATGCTAGCGGCGCATTCTCTGAAGTGCGCTTAGCCGAAAGTAAAGATACGCCGGGCGATCATTTTGCGGTTAAAATTATTGATAAAAAAGCACTAAAAGGAAAAGAGGAATCTTTGGAAAATGAAATACGTGTTTTGCGAAGGTAAGTTGATATATATTGATATATACATATATCTATCTGTTTTTATGTATATATCTTTACTCTTTAAGGCAAGTTAAAACGATGCAGTCGGCCCAATCGACTGCATAATACTCCTCTACATTTACAGAAACATCGACTTGTCAGGAAAAATGAAGGTGTAAAAAAGTAGAATAAGGGCAGGAGACGAGTATAGAAGGGTAAAGAAGATAACAGACAAAGAAGAGATAAAAGAGAGCGAGGAAAATAAAAGAGAAAGAGCATGTAGCTGAACTAAGAATATAGAATAAGAATAGAATAAAATGATGAGTAAGAAGGTACCAGTATCCAGCATATTGGTTTCATACTTTATTACGTATACATTAATGGAAGCTTCAGGGAAATGCTATAAGAAATCGATAAGGAACTAAGTGTGAGTTGCACACAGGGAATTTAAAATAGCATCGCGGATATATAAAGGTTACAAGAGGTCTTTATATTTCCATTGCTATTCTATTCAATTTTGATTTATTACAAATAATATATATACATATATATATATTATATTTTTGCTTAAGTTGGCATTATCACTAGCTGGATGCAGCGCTTAAAATTTTTTGATTTTCAGCTATGATTGAATCGATAGTTTGCAAATTGCATAGCATATCTTGAACTACCCAAACTACTATCGATTTCTGTTTATGATTTTTACTGAATTTGTTTTTTTTTTGTTTTTTTATTTTATTTTTATTTTTAAAATTTTCTTCTTCGTTTAATCTGCTTTCTTTCTATGTAGGTTTAGTGCAAACCATTTTGATGGCAACAGTCCGAATGGAACGCGGTGAGTTTTGATCCCAAACAATAAAAAACCAAAAATGTCCCGTTTTGGAGTAATAAGAGATATAACTATATCTTAAATGAGTTAGATTTCGTCCGCAATTTCCCATACTCTAATCAGATGTAGGGGCTCAAACTCAAGTATCCCCTGTAAAGCCTTAAGACTATGTTCCACTCTTACTACACTTGTGATTAAAGAGTATTTTGCTATTTTTATTGTTTGTTCTATTTACAGACTGACCCATCCGAATATAGTGCAACTACTTGAAACATACGAAGACAAGGCTAAGGTGTATCTGGTCATGGAACTGTATGCATTACACTTCATATATACATATATATATAAATAAATTTTTCTGTAGAGTAACAGGTGGCGAACTGTTCGATCGTATCGTGGAGAAGGGTTCATATACGGAGAAGGATGCATCCCACTTAATTAGACAAATCTTAGAGGCTGTAGACTATATGCATGAGCAGGGGGTAGTACACAGGGATCTTAAGGTAACCAATCTAAAATATTTTTAAGTACAATAATTTTGATTATTTGATTTTTACATTATAGCCTGAAAACTTACTATACTATAGTCCAGACGATGACAGTAAAATAATGATAAGCGACTTTGGTTTATCGAAAATGGAAGATTCGGGAATCATGGCAACTGCTTGCGGAACTCCTGGCTATGTGGCACCAGAGGTACTCGCCCAAAAACCGTATGGCAAAGCCGTTGATGTATGGAGCATAGGCGTTATATCCTATATACTACTTTGTGGATATCCTCCCTTTTATGATGAAAACGATGCCAATCTATTTGCACAAATTCTAAAAGGTATGTTTGATTATATATTGAATAAGACTTTCCATTGCAGTTAATGACGTCTAAGTTGTCAATTACACAGGCTGAAAGGATTTAGTAACTAAGAATGCTATATTTGCAAATTGATATAGCTATATCAAAATGAACTACTCTGCTTTAATTGAAAGAGGATGGCTTCAGTTTAGTGAATCCAAAACATGCCCATCAATCAAATTTTAAATGATCTATCATTTTATCAGATTCCATGGAATCACTAAAGTAGCTCTGGTTATATAATAGTTATTTATTAGTAATATAGATATATTATAGTCGATATAGCTATATCAAGATGAATTACTCTGTATTAAGTGGAAGCAGATGGCTTAATAGTGTAGTCGATCCTAGGCATGATTTTAGATGATCGATAATTTGATCAGTTTCCATGGAATCGATAAGCTCTCTTTACTTAATAGTAAGTTGTAGATAAGTGCATTTAAATATATTGGTTTTTAAGGTGAATTTGAATTCGATTCGCCATATTGGGACGAAATAAGTGAGTCAGCCAAGCACTTTATTAAAAATTTAATGTGTGTCACTGTGGAAAAACGATATACTTGTAAACAAGCATTGGGACATCCATGGTAAGTGATACAAACGCGAATTTTAGAATTCTTTTGATGTAATATAATAATAAACGCTTCCAGGATATCTGGTAATGAGGCTAGCAGCAAGAACATTCATGGAACTGTGTCAGAGCAGCTTAAGAAAAACTTTGCCAAGAGCCGGTGGAAAGTGAGTTGACCCACTCCTATTATATATATTATATACGTCTTATACTTGCGTCTTATACTTGCGTCTTATACTTATAATATAGCAAGCTTATTATGCTGCCACAGTCATACGACAAATGCAGCGAATGGCGCTTAGTAGCAATAGCAGCGCAACGGCAGATGGCAATTCCTCTCTTAATACGTTATCATCAACAGCAACAGCCACTGCTACTGAAATTACATCTGACAATGGTACCGGCCGAAACTGTGTTAAAGATGGAGTCGAAGCAAATGTGGGAACTATTAAACAATCATCCTCGACAACGAGCGCTCCGGCTTTGAATGAAACCCCGCATACAGACATTAAGAATCACCAAAGAATCTCGCCAAATTGTAGTTTCAGCGGCCAAGCAAAGTAACATTTTTTAAACACGCACAGTTAGTCCACAAGCACAAAATTAATGAATGCTATATATATATGTTGAACGTTGCGTTTCCCTAGATCATTTTGTATACATTCACAAAATGTGACGTACAAAATCTTCTATGTATACGCCACTTCCATCATACTTAGATAGTGTTAAGTCAATCAAGTTAGAACTTTGCACACACACATACATATATATTTCAATGTATACATATACCTATGTATGTACACATAGTTATTATATCACACTATATATATTGTTATTTGAAAAGAAAAAATTAGAAAAATGAAATTGTTTTGTAAATTGGTTTCCGTAATTATATAAATTTTAAATAATTTTCAACTTATGTATATTTATTAAAATTAAATATTGCTTAAAGAATTATATTTTTAGCAAGCATTTGCCACTTGTGCTCTGTCTAACATTCGTATTGTTGTTTATATAAAAACTAATGAGCTGGAACATGTCATTTAATTAATTAAATATAGAACAATATACTTATTTTCGCATTGTAACTACTTATGTTTTTATTTAAATGATTGACAATATTAAAAACAATATGTTTCCATTAAGTTTCAATTAACATGTGATTCCTACAATTCTACATCATTAGAATCCTACAATTGTGTATAGCAACGTTTTTCTGCAAATTATAAAGCGATTCTATAATTGATTCATATATTCATTTTCAAATCTTGACTATATTTTCCGAGCTTATATTATAATTTCGAAAATATTCAGAATTTTGGGTTGTCTTTGGCAGGAACTATATAATATAACAATTTTACAGTAAACAGTTCTTTCACAAAATATTACCAACATTATTTAACTTTATTTTCGATTGAGGAATATGAAATATATATGCCACTGAACGGAAAACTGTTCTACTTGATAATAATATATATTATATCATTATAATATTTATCCAGCTTTCAATAATTTTAAAGAACCAAGGCCTTTAAATTTTCTATTTCCGATGCCCTCTTAATTAAAAAAAAAAATTATTTCAAACTTGGACACATATTTGAATGTTAATATTATAGTATACACAAAAGATTGTTACATTGATTAAAACTACACTCAAATTCTTTTAATTATTTGATTCGATGTTCTTTTTTAGCAAATGCTGAATCCCCTTATTTATAATTTCAGTTTCAATAATGTTTTTTAATTAAAAAAATAGTAAACGTAAGCCAAACTGTACAATTGGAATATACACATACGTGAAATGCATTAAAACTAATTTAAGTAATCAGCTATTAATATTTAAGTATTATTGATTAACTTATTTCTTTTTGTTACGCTTCTTCTTTTTCTCGGAGCCACTCACTTTTTTCTTAGATACGCAAACGCGACAAAACCAATCTTCATTATCGTTTGGAGCAACCAGTATGCCAACACATATCCTAAAAGGATAAAATAAAATAATTATATTCTTAAAAAAATGACTTTTTTAAGTGCTCTAACTTACCAATGATACCATGCGTCGCAGCCATCGCAACCAATCATTGCCGAACCATCGTCAACTTTTCCACATGCTGGACAAATCCATATACGATACCCATCAGCATCAATATAAGACGAGGGACGACTTACTTCTGCACTTTGTGGCGCTGTTTGCGTCGGTGTCGGAGTGACTTCAGATATTTTCGGTGAATTCAATGGTACACAAGGTCTTGAGCTCTGCTTTGAAGGGGATGATGATGATGATGATGATGATGCTGCTGCTGGCTGCATTAATTGTTGTGGTAATAAAACCGAACTAGCTGATATTGTTGATGTGGCAGTATTCGAAGTCCAATTACTTGCTGTAGCTCCACTTAGAGCAGATGGAGCGGTGTGCTGGGTATTTAGTATTGGCATCATCATTGTCATTGGCATCATGGTTGGCATGGCCTGTGTTTTGGCACTAACCGCGGAAACAGAAGCAGATGTGGCCAAAGATAAGTTCAAGTTTTGCGTTTCGCCTAAAACAAGATCACTGATTGAATTAAGCATCACATAATTATTCATGTTTAAAATTCGATTTCCTACATTGCTTTGGTTTTGGAGCTCGTGTTACAAGTGGTGAAAATCTAGCCAATTCTGGCGAATGTTCCCTTTTAGTCAACGTGCTTGGCGTCTGAGTCGTTGTATCAGTTACTACCGCATCATCCATGCCATCTAGTGTGGCTTGTGAGGGTGTTGAACTTCCACTAAGCTTAAGTGTTAACTTTGGTACGTGGTTAGGTGAGAGATCTAATTTGGGTGACGCTATCAAATGGGGTGTCATCGGCGTTGGGTGACCAAATGTCGATGGCCCTAAAGCGGTATCTGCTCCAACTACTGCAAGACCCATGGTAGATTCTCGGCTCTCTTTTATAATATGTAATCTATCAGTTGGCAACTGCAAAGAAAGTGATCAATTTAACTCATAATTATTGGAAGTAAACTTCGTAGCTCTCAGTTTTTTAACTTTGGCATAACTGCTAGTCTCTCATGCTCGAGTAAAGCGCTCCTTTCAGGACAACAGTACATCCAATACTTTAGCATGAAAGACTAATCTGGATAATAGCTTACTGAAACCACTTGGACTACTTATCCAATATATTCGTATTCTCATGAATATGAGATGATATTAGATAAAAAACAAGAAAGCTCTAGTCGGGGTGCCCGACTAATGATACCCTAATCCCAGTCCTATCTGCTTTTTTAATATTTTTCGTAGTTTGTATCAAGAATTTAAAAAAAAAAAAAAAAACAATTAAAAATCGACACTATGACACCAAGATTCGAACCCAAATTGTTTACGCAATGTGCATCAACACTCTACCAACACCGCCACCCCATAATTAAACAAGTAAGAAAGCTGTAGTCGGAGTGCCCGACTAGGAGATACCCTGATCTCAGTCCTATTTGCGTTTATTAATATTTTCCGTAGTTTGTATCGAGTATTCAAAAAAAAAAAGAAAACAAATAAAAAACATTACGAGACCAGGATTTGAACCCGGATTGTTTGCGCAACGTGCACCAATTCTACCAACACCGCCACTTCATAATTAAAAAATAAAATAAAATAATAAAAAATATTTCATCTCCACCGGTCTCGAACCCTGGGACTAACGCCGCCTCTACCAACGCAGTCACTGCACCTCTTGCAATAAGAATTGCAAATTTGAACTTGAGTAGCATCTGAGTGTTCAATCAGAATTCAATTCAATCGCAACTTCGATTCTTGGAATAGAAAAGAATACACGCATTTGAATGCAAAGTAAAATGATCGATACTTATTAATAATAAAGAGGAGTTAATGTAAAAAAAGAAACTGTAACGAGTATATACACATATGCCCCTTGTTTTTGTAGATTACGAGATTTGGATTCTTACGTTATCTTTCATGTTTTTTCGGCAAATAAAAGCTTGAAAATAAGTAGGAGTGTTTGCAGTCGGTTGCTACCTTCCCAAAGGTCGTAGAAATAACCACTGATTTTTAAAGTCTAGCACTTTAACGAGTAGCGTCTCTGACATACCAAATTTAATGTTTCCCGACGCACGTGGTAGGCGCATCGAAAAAATGTTAGCCCTTTCTCAGATGAGGGTGCTCCCAAGAATATATTCCAATTTCAGTCTCTATAATAGTCACAAAGTGGATTTCGTTCATACGGACAGTCGAACGGACATAAAGCCAATATACTCGTTCACTTCGCGAATGAGTGTAATGGTCACAATATCAGTTTTTCTCAGTTACACACACCTGTATGCCTGTATTAATCAATATTTTGATTAGAAATCAATTTCGAAGTCTTACCTGTTTTTCTCTTTTCTTATCTTTTTTTAATTTTTTGTCTTCGCTTTTTGGTTTTGCATTCTTTTCATCCGATCTATTTTTATTACGGAACTTGTCCTTCTTATCTTTTTTCTTCTTGATTTTGCCCTCCTTTGGCTTTTTTAATTTCTTATGTAATTTTCGAATTTTCAGTTCATTGATTGTTAAACTATTTGTTGGGGTAATCGTCACATCGTCATAGCTAAGTGAGCCAACAAAACGTTGATCAACATCCGCTGGGGCTGCTGCTGTTGCTGTTGTTGGTGCTGTTGGTGCTGTTGGTACTGTTGCATCAGCAGATGTTGGTGCACCAGACGTTGCGCCGACTGCTAGACTTGTTGATGGCACTGCTAAGGACGAGTATGCTAAGCCACTGTCAATCCGTGATAGAGGTATTAGATCGGCGCCCCCAGCAAGGCTAAATTTATCGCTGCCCATAAAATTAATATTAAATGGTGTTGCCGTTGTGCTTGTTGCTGTTGTTCTGGCTGTTGTTGATGGTGGTGGTGCAACAGACAGTAAATCAGCTTGAGGCAATTTTAAAGCTCCCATCTGAGCTTGCCTATTGTATTGTGGCGGCAAAGGATTAGCATACACTTGGCAGCTTTCAATAATTGGGTTTATTAGATTCGATGGGTGCATTAAGTTCGATTTGTGACGAGGCGATAAGCTGTCATTTGCCTTGGTTCCGTCATCGTTGGAATCCGAATCGGATACCTCGATGGGATCGCCGACGTTACCTGTTGCCGTTGGCACTGATTTGATTGGAACTTTTGTAGCCTTAGCGCTTTCATCGTTGCCACCCTGAACAACCATAGGCATTATAATCGATCTATGAGCTAGATCTTTATCCGTGCACTCACTGCTTAGCAAGCGATGGGGTGATTTCAGTTTAATGCCTTCAACTGGCGTTGTTGGCAGTTTCATTGAGTCTGGCACCAATGGAGCAACATTGCAATAACTACGCTCCATATGAATATCGGACAACGGCAATAATCCACTCAGAAGTGTGGCCTTATTATCTGGGAATCAAAAATTATTATCAAAAATTTCTTGAGATCAACTCAAAATATGTTTCATCCTTACCCGTAGCTGTAGCTGAGAAATTCATAAACGAATGTGGCATAAGTAGATTGGAGCCCGTGCCACAGGCAACTGTGTTGTTAAAACTAGTTAAACTGGGTGGAAATAGACCTGGACCGGTTGGTATTAGGCCAGGTCGCGGAGGAAAATGTAATAAGGGCAGCATTGGCAATATATTTCCTTCATTGCTTGAGCTTGTAAAATTTGTAGCTGGTCTAGGTCCATTGTTCGTCACAAAGCCTAGATTTCCAGATAGTTTCTTATCCGACTCGGCACCCATTAGAAGAGTTGAAGTTTTTGACATTTGCATTTCTGTATCCATTAAGCAAATCTTTTTATTTAATTCTCGCCCATTATCGCAAACATTGCTGTCGTGACTATATTTAGCTTTAGACTTTTTTCTGTCTTTCTTTTCTTTAGGTTTTTGAAATTTGTTTTCTCCAAGATTATCCGAAAAATTGACATTAGGATTACTTTTCAATTGATCGACCTGGCTTAGATTCAACGGCTCTATAAGTGGCAATTCAAAGGATCCAGCAGTGGGTAAAGTGGGCATTAGTGTAGAGCCATCCGGGTATGTACAAACGGTATTTAGCTTCGACGCTTTTGTTTTCTTATGCATTTGTATGGGTGAGATACTTGTTGATGACGGTGCTTGAGGCCTGCATTGATTTTTGCCACCTGGTTTACGGCCACGTTTCTTTGGTTTGTTCAAGTCATTAGGCATTAGATTCGTTGTTGCTGGGGGTAATTGTGAATAAGCGTCCAAGTAATCATATGTTGCCAGATTACCCAATGACATATTTAAATTGGTGTTAGTTATATTCTCATTGGCATTTGGGGCAGGCGGTGCCGGTGTTATTGTTGTACCAGATGGCAAGTTAATTAAAGGCGATGCTGTATTATTAGCATTTTCATATAGATTCGAAGCAATATTTAGTTTGTTAGCTTTTTGTTTAGAGATTTTCTTGAATATATTCAATTTATTTCGGTCTGGTTCATTAGCTAGCTTTATTTCATCAATCAATTCAATTGCCATGTTAGGGGTTGGGGGTATATTAAATGTATCTTTGTTGTCCAATAGCAAGCCAGCAGGAGGAATAAATGCAACTTCATTTATAGGGTTTTCAAGTGTTTCAGAATTTGTGCTACTAAATGGATTCAGTGGCATTGTATTGATTGAACCCATACTGAATTTGGAAGCTGATTGAAATTGACGTTGTTGCTGCTGCTGCTGTTGCTTTTGGCTTTTTAGTTGCTTCTGTCTTTGCTTTGTTTGTTTTTTGATCAACTTTTCGAGTTGCATTCGTTCTGTTGAACCATCTGGCAAATCAGATAATATGCCACGATTTAACATTTTCGTTTTCTTCAGTTCCGTCACATTGCTGCCACTGCCTATTCCGACGCCGCCACCACCACCATCAATTTGATTCTTAGACAACTTTTGACACATTTTTAAAGCCTTTCGCCGTGCCTTGTCCATAGCTTTGATAGCATTTGAATCATTTGTCATCTGACCAGCAATTATAATTTTCTTTTTGTTCTTCTTGGTCTTAGTGTTTGGGGTAGGTGTTGCAACTGCTACAGCCATAACAGAAGCATTTTCTTCCTCTTTACCTTTGTTCACTTCATTTGATGTAGTCGGATTATTGCACAAGAAGGGCTTTTGCTCTATCGGTGTAGTATTTGGATTAGTCTCTACAGTATCCATTATTTTTATAATTGGATCAACGATATCATTTGAGGCATCTTTTTGTATTTCCAATAATTTTGGCACATGCGGTACAGAAGGTGCGTCTAGTCCTTTGAATTTTTCTAAAAAGAATTATCCACTTATATTAGTAATTATTCAGATCATAAAGTTATATTCTAAATTTGCAGAATCTGGATCCGCAGGATCCCGCACAGTAAATTCAAAGTTGAATCGTTTTGTTGTATTATCAATAATACGGAAAAAGCAAGATTTATACATTTAACATTTCATGCCTCTATCCTTTGTGCATTACCAGAGTGGTGCGATCATACAGACGGACAGACAGACATGGTTAGATCGAATTCACTTAAAATCCTGATTAATAATATATATACTTTATGTAGTATGCCAACACAATTAAATATATATTAATTTTTTATGAAGAAGTGAATCTACATAAACCATGTGAGTGAATGAATAGCTCTGCGTAGAGAATACTCTTGCTTGTTAGGTGTTTAAAATTGTGAGTGGACTTACCAATAATATCTGGTATGTAAGCTTCTGGCAGTTTGCCCTCAATTGCTGGCGATATAAAGCCTCCTGTGGTCATGACAACGCTACTGATTTCTCGTAGTGCATGACCATCATGATCCAAATTATCGGCAGATGATGCATTTAGAGTACATAACTTTGATATGCCACCGGCGGCAAAGTCAGTTTTCACATCTTGCACTAATTTAATTGTTGTTGGCTCTCGATTTAACTCCAGTTTACACAACTGAATATTTTCGTGTTCTAACTTATCTGGCCATCTAATTGAGGAGCCAGAGTGGGAGGAGGAGACTGTAGGAGTTGACTCTGTGGGCAACATCGGAGGAAGGTATTCGAATATGTGAACGGGTCTCGTTAGTGTCTCTACACTGCCAGGCTTTAGGAAATTCATATTTGAAATTCTTTTCACTGGATAGGCTGGTATATCTCGAACAAACGGTATTGGCTCAACATTTCCAATATAATCGAGTAATTCGAGTACGTTAATGCTAACATTTTTTAAGCTCAACAGTACATCCTTCAAATTGGGTTCAACACGATTAGCTATATTGGACAAGATAATTACATATGTATATTTATGTAAGTTATGTTATTTATAAACAAACTTATTACCGTGCTCGGCTTGGCGATGTAGATCGCGTGCAAGTTCTTGGATAAATCGCAGTAAAATGTCCTCCAGCAATTCTAAGGGAGCACTCTGTGTTCTACTATATCCAATAGTTTGAGCTATTTGGGCTATAACAACACCTAATAACTCTGAAGTATATTTTTCAGCCATCATTTTTGCGAACTGACGTCTTTCAGATATACTTTTTTATTGTTTTACATGTGTTGGTGTTTTCTTAGTGTTGGGTAATACAAGGAATATATTGTTTTGCCGCCACGACAACGTAAGTCCGTACCATAGAATTTAAACGGTTTGTATTTCCGCAGCCTGAACTTAACTAAAGTGCGCATTTTTAAAAATATAAATTAATAATATCGGTGATACGAGAAAAGTGTCAGATATGGACTATCGAAATGTGCAAATAGAAGCAGTTCATAGATTCAGTAAAAATTGTGTATTTTTATAATGGCATATTTAGCACATTTTATTTAATACTGTTAAGAAAATACTGTTTTATGTGAACTTTAAATAAAATGTACTAAATATGCCAAAAATAAATAAATATTCAAAAAATTATATATATTTATATATTAATACTTACATTTTTGTGCTTTTTTTTAGAGCTGACGATCTCTATCGTACGCTCGAAACATAATGATTGCTTGGCACTGTTAAAAGTCTCAAATAATGTTAAGAGACTACGCATAGGTTACGTACGTTACTTTAACTAACAGTTCTGTTGTTCATGTTACACTTTCGACTCCGTGATCTTATTTAAATATGATTTCGGAGGGAGCTTCAGCAAATCTGTAGTGTGCTTTAAAATATCTATCTTAGTAATAAGACGACCAAAACCTTACAGATGTGTTATTTTTGACCTCTCATCTTGATGTACCGAAAAGTACATATATATGTATATCGATTATAGGCATGGTGGATCGAAAAATTTATATTTTGCACAATTTTAAAGTTAGAGTTCCAACATTTAAATGCTTACTAAAAAATGCTGTTTCGAATTTAATAAGAGTAATGACTAGAAATAACTTTTAAATAATAATGTAATAATATAGGCAGAAAAATGCATTTATTATTGTTAATTTACTTTAATTCAATTTCGATATTTATTTATTTACAATGTAACGAAATAAGCTTTGCCATTATTAATTTAAATCCTAAAAAAATATCCTTTACACTAAAAATCGGTTTTGTTTTTAATAAAAAAAAAAACAACGTAATTTTTGCTAGTTAAATACAGAGAGAGAAAGTATATGGTTTAAGCAAATATTTATATAATATATAGTATAATCTTCACCTCATTTCTGATTAGAGAATTAAAATAAAAGCTTTTCATTAAATTGTGGGCAAGTCTTGCATTCAAACTGGGATCCAAGACTTGAGATAATCATACGGTATATTGGAGGAAAGCTTAGAACCTAGAAAGTCGAACTATTTTGGGATCAGCATATTAAATCCTTTGATTTGGAATGTGAAGTTCTTAGATTATTAAATAAATCAATTTTTTTATTTAATTTGCAATTCATAAGCCGTATATACCGTATATACAGGTCAGCCATATTTAATTATAGGGTATCTGTCCCACAACACCTGGAGGAAGCGTCTTACCAATTATGAATAGCAGCACTTTGGCAACAAGTCAAACAAGTCGGGCACTCCCGGAACCCTGCACAGATGGGCGAACTGGAACTAGATCTTCCAGAGTTATGGAGATAGACAGTTAGACCCTTCCAACTTGGGCTTATACAATAGTTTAAAGCTTGATTATCGAGTCAAGTAAAGGTGTGCTTTACTGACGACTGCGACTAGGAGATACCCGTAAGGACACACTCTTTAGTAATAAAGGTATCTAAAACCTCTATTCCAAATTAGGGAATTATCTCTTTCTCTCTTGAGTTCAAAAAATGTGGGATATGCACAAAAACACAAATTTAAAACGATTTCTTTCAGGTAACTTTACCATTCATAGGGAGTGATGGACAGACTGCATAGAAAGACAGATAGAAATATGTATAAGTTTCAGATCGTCCCTGCCTTCCATTGCCTGTGACATGTATTCGTACAATAACTTTATTTCCCATTTATCCATTTATGAGCCAGCAAATATATAGTTGGAAGTGGAATAATATTTTGTATTTGATATATATGTTGATCTGGCCCAAAGACTTTTAGTTAATTCGCAAGCTCTTGAAGACCACAAATTATATATAAATTGCAAGGCCCAATCCTATCATACCATATATGCTTATATGTAAAAGAATTAGTTACTTTATATATATATATGTATATATATTTATATAGATGTATATATATTTCGGTCCATTACCATGCATCGGATACTATTATTGCTTTCATTAATGAAAAAGCTTTTTAAATTATTCTATATTATGCCGGTACCGACGAAGGCGTGCACTATTTTCTATTTTTGGATCACCCGGTGGGGGCGAAATATCATTCCTTGGTGTGGTTGGGGGGGATGCCGATGACGATTCGATAATATTTTGATTCCTTGCCGTACTATTAGTGTTATCGATTCGTGAGTTAGCTATCGTCTTACACGTCGTATTGTCTTTACATAATTTCCTGACACCATCATCGTTATTAATTATATCTACTGCTGGAGACTGATCATCGAAATTGCCCACCATGGTTGTTGCTTCTGCTGTTGCAGAAACCTCACGAGATCTGTAATTGACGCAGTTAGTAACTTTGTTTGCAACTACTATGACTGCTTATAAACAACTGATGCTTTACCTACTAGATATCCGAGTTTGTAGTCGTTGAAATCGTAGATTTAATTGCGTGGGATCAGTCACGTACTTTCCTTCTGTTGATTCACGACGGCGACGCAAACCTTAATATTAAATGCCGTTCAACATTTCATTAGTTCCAGTTGATAGATTCTATAGCATGTATTATCTTCTACCTACTCTAACTACTCTAACTACTCTCTTTCTCCCTCTCCCCTGTCCGTCTCCCTCTTCTCTACCAATATTTATACCTCTTCTTTTAGCGTCTAAGGCTATATTGCCTCTCTTCTGCTTTATCATAAACTTTCTTTTCTCCAACTCTTTCCAATCGTGCCTTTAATTTCCCTCTACTTATATCTCTCCTTTGTCCTGTCGCCCGTTTCCCGTTTCCCGCCTCCCGTCTCAGTTTTTTTTCCTTCTCCCCATATAATATACCTCTTGTCCTTGTCTAGTCTCCCTGTCTCCCAAAATTTTGAAATTTCCCAAGTATCTAGTTTTAGTTTCTAGCCTATACATTTGATATATTTAAGGTTTAAAAAATCTTTATAATAAGTCGACATAGACAAACCTGGTGTCAAGTCCATAATATTTGAAGAGTTTTGTAAAGCATTCGAGTAAAGTTGAGTTCGGCTTGGGCTATTAATAAGGTCCACAGTATTGGATTTTTGTATATTATCAATTTGTGGATGAATCTGGGACCCAAGTGTTGTTGCCGTTGTTGCTGCAACTGCTGCTGCTGCTGCTGCTGCTGCTGCTGTTGTTGTGGCAGCACCAGCCCAAGACGCACATTTAGCTTGTCGCAAATTGGAAGTGAGTACAGGAATCTTACTGGGTGTACTCAACATAGCCAATTCACAGCCATCACATACATCAGCGGTCATATGTAAGATAGGATTTTCAAGTGATTTGGATTGTGGATCAATGGATTGAACCTGAGGAGCTGTAGCTGTATCCGTAGATGGACAAATCAGGCACTCTGGAGGTATGCCATTCAATTTGCCATAAGCTTTCGACTCTTGACCAATTGTAATTTCATCACAGTTAGCTAAGATCTTATCATCCAAATGCATATCGTGCATATCACCAGTTGCTTCCTGTTTTAACGACTTGTAACTTTTCATACTGCTAGCTGCTAAGGCATCATAGTAGATAGACTCCTCCATATGCGAGTTTTCTGTACAAGATATAAAATATTTTTTAATATAATGTATATAATAAAGAAACTAATTCGATTGCTCCAGGTTGGGTGGTCCCAATTATCAATATTATCAATATTATCAATTAAAGATACCTCGATATATACAATGGAATAATACGCTGCATCACAGTCTAGACTGAGAGTTCGTGTTTATCGTGACATGGAGGTGCCTCGTTGATTTCAAGGAAAATTTGCTAAAAGGCATCTCATAGTATAGTCTCAGATAATTCGGAGTCTACACTACACTTCCTAGACAGGAAGTTATTGTTTTATCGTGACTAGCAAATACTTTGTAATTGACAGAAAGGATGATACTCTATGACAAGTGAACAACTCGTTATCTAGAAAGGATGGATTGCTTGCTAATTGGTCTAGAAGATACCCCGATGCAGTTGAATGGTTGATTGAGGATCTTAAAATGAATCATCAAATGATTTTACGTTTGACTTCATAGATTCTTACCTTTCGGAATGACACGAATTTCAAGTCGCCCACTAACACAGCCATCGTTGCTTTGGGTAGCAGCATCCATGAAATTAGCAACTCGATTTCCATGCTGCTGACCTTGCACATCGGATGATATTAGATCTGTAGGTAGGTTGCTTCTCTGGCAAAATGTTGTCTTAACACACCAAGGCACTGCTGCTGCCACAGGTGCGACTGCCGCTTCCTGCAGCTCATTAGGCGTATTTGCATTCAGGTTTGGCTTCTCATCGAACATATCTATGAGGCAAACGTTGGGCAGGCTATTGCGATGCTTGCACAGTGACTGACTCTCATTCGAGTTCCTTGATTGCATATCAATGGCAGCATCCTTGTACGTTGCAATAATTGTGGGAAAGTGGTTTGAGTTTGCCTTCGGTGCAATTTCCGACTGAGATTCCCGAACGCAAACATTTCGTGCTATATCCATACGATACACCTTTGGAATAAACCATAAAAGATTACTAACTTTTTATGCGTTGAAAGACAAAAATCGTATTGTTAACTATTTAAGCATTTTCTATTTCTGTGGAGTAAAGTTGTATTATTCTATGTAAGCTATTTCTATAGGAATTCTTGAATCCTCTTTTTCTGACTTCAAAATTGTGACGGACTAATTGTCGCAATTAATCGGCATCCACAAATTCGTTTAAGAATATCATTAAATTTCTAAATTTCATTAGAAGCCATGCAGCCCTTTCATGGTGCTCAAATTACGTGATGCGTCCACTTCAGGTAAGACTGAAAGCATGATTAAATAACATTTTGGCGAATTACGGGTGGCATCAGTTGGCAGACAATCTTCTATAAGCTTTTCGCTTCAATGCAATTCATAAAACCAGATTCTCTGCCTTACAACAGCCATTTTCAGGTTAATGGCTCTTGGTCTAAATGTACAGATTTTCAGTTCTCAGAGCAAAGAGTGGATTAAGTAAAATAAAATACTTTCGATTTCTCTCTACAAAAAGAAATAATCCAAACTTAATTACACATATGTACCTAACAGTATATATTTATAGTATATGCCTATAAGAGTTATGTTTTGTTAATATATTTACATATATAGGGCATATTATATATATAGGTCACTTATACTCAAATAATCAACAATTGACTCAAATGCTTCAAATGTTGTACATACATAAAAAGTATATAAAACATGCATACATATAGCTATTTATATACAAATAAATATATCTATCTATAATATGAGTAATTTGGAGTTAAGCTTACAGTGTCATCGAAGGCCGCTTGTTGCACAGCAGGTGGCTCTAGATCTTTTCGTAATACATTACCCATTGCAGGCTCTGACCAGCAGTGCGGTATCGACATTTGCAAAGTCTCATAGTTTTCGATTCCAGCTATGTTAAGTGTGTATCTATATGTACATTTGGCATTATGGGGAGATTATTATACACGTATTCACGTATGGCAAAGTATGGAGATAACTAATTGAGTTACATATATGTACACACAGGTGTGGGAATAGTGAAACAGGTGTAAGAACGTTGCAGTCTGACGTTATCGACTGGCTAATACTCATTCTCTTTCAGTTCAATATGATTTAATGGAATCATCTGTATAGAAAGTTCAGTTTCTCTTCAATTCATGGAGGTCATGGCCAGGATCACTGCATAGCAGCTTAGCTATGATCAAATTGCACAGCTTATTGGGATTTATGAATTCCGCACAAGAATATGGAAGAATGGTTTTTTCTAATGGCTAATTTTTATATGGCTATCAATTAACGGTTAACAGTGAATCTCTATTACTGGAAAGGATATTCTCAGCTACTATATATGCATATCTTCTAGAGCATTAAAGCTGGAATCTCAAAGAGCAAGTGAGCTACCATTCACTTCCTTTTCTGATGTGTTATACATATTCAGCACAAATGATATGAGCAAATTAACGAAATTATGTGACCCAAAGTTTTTTATATATCGAGTCCACTGAGACCCTAGCTTTAAAGCGGAAATTAGAAAAGCTATGCATTACAACGTGGCAAGTTAGAAAATATTTATATGTATAAACAAAAGAAGTAACGAGTGAAATATGGGGAAATACTTTTAGCCATTGTAGAAGAGAAAATCCGAAAATATTGATTGTTAGTTAGATTGAACTGCTTTTGGAGAGTGAACGACTATTATGCAACTGCAACTTTCTTGCTGTTTTTTGGAGATCAATTTGTGATCTGTAAAAGTTTTATTTAGACTGGGTTTTGCACTTACCTCTTAACCTTTGCATTGTCGGATGGTTTTGCTTTTGAATTGCCGTTACAGGTTACGGCTAAGTTAGAGTTTCTGTGTATTAACGGCAAAGATACGTCCGCTTTAGCAAATCGATCCAAATTTGGTTGTGACTGCGAGGCAAAAGGTTTTGGAATACTTTACATGTGATAGATACAACATAAACTGTGTGTAACTCGGGCGTAAACACAAATATAATATAAATATTTACATATAACCTGGGCTCAATGCACACATATTGAGAATGTGTTTGTAGGTAAGTGTATTTACTACATACTGTATATATATCTAGGAATAATATTGGTAGAGACGAGCTGTGCTCAAAAACAAAGTTGAAGATTAAAACCGTTTGAAATCAGGGAGAAGATGAGAGAAGACTTGAAGAACTGGAAAAGCTTTATGCTATACCAAAACAGTAAGAGTGCTCTAGTCGGAAGTGCTCGACTATCATACTCTGACTATTGCGAAGCGGTGCTGCTAAAGGCATTTCTCATTGAACTTCGATTCTAGAAGTACGATCGAAAATCAACTTCAAAATGTCATAGAGTTGTAATAAAAGTTTTAAGAATTAGTTTTGGAACACAGCCGTATATATGTATATAGTATTATTACACATAGGTATGTAAAGAGTGAGGTGGTAAAGAGTGTAAAGAGTGAGCAATTAAGAGTATTCTGGTCTGGAGTATCGATAATGGGATATACCCTAACCCTAGTTGAGGGTGGCCGACTAGAGGATACCCTTAACCCTGTTCGCCGTGTGTTTTTAAATACTTTCCACAGCTTGTCAAACAACCAGCATCCCCACACTACGCGCATCAACTGTCTACTCAATTTAAATTTAAAGATTTTTTGGACACTTGTAGCCAGAATCCAAAATATAACAAAAATCATAATTACATACGATATACATGAAACTACATGCCAAAGAGACTCTAACTCCAAAGACGTACGAGCTATGATTTAATTACTGAATTTCGGTTATGTCTTAAATCGATAATCGTTTACTTGAAATATATATATAAAGCTTTTATAGATGCTTAGACGTTCATACATACGGACAGACGGAAGGACAGACAGAAATACAGGGCTAAATCGACTCAGCTCGTCGTCCAAATCAAGAATATATACACTCTATGGGGTCTGCCACGCCTCTTTTTACCTGTTACATTCCTCTTAAGAACATTATTATAATCTGCTTTTCCACTTTCAATGGGTTCGGGGTATAGAAAAATAGATGAACTCATAATGCGTATAGAATATACAGGAATATATAGAAAATTTCGTATGTGTTCAGGGTATACGACTTAACCATGGAGTGGACACTTGAAGCATTTAAGATTGATTGTATGAAATGAAAAGTGCCTCAGAGTAGCTGGCGTATACAATATGACATATATAGGATATATTTGAAGGATATCATAATTATATTATTACCTGTGGCTCCTGCTTCCATTCGTTGTCGGTTGTATCCTCTGAGTCGTCAAATTGGCTCTTCCATTGGGAAGCGAGCGTTAGAGCACCGCCACCTTTGGTTACCTGTTGCAGTGCCGAAACATTCTCATCATCGATTAATGCAAATTGTGTTACTGAATGATCACCAGCAGCCGTTGATGCTGCCGTTGCCGTTGCCGTGGCCGTTGCCGTTGTTGTTGCATTAGTTTTCGCTGCGATAATGCCGATTGCTGCTGCCCGCTGGTTTGACGAAGGCAGCCCTATAGACGACGATAGACGTAGATTGGTTGAGGTTGCCGAGCGACGATTTATTGGCGATATGCCAAAGATTTGTTCACGCTGACAGATGAGGCTCTTGTTATTATGATTCAAGATGCCATTGAAATCCTGACTCTGATTTTGATTCAGGTTCTCTTGATCAGTCAGTGCTGGCGTTGGAGCAGCCAGCACTCGTAGACGACCATAGGTTGACTTCTGTTCGACCAGATTCACACTGTTTGCGTGCGAGCAGCGTTTGCTTTCACAGCTCTTGTCAGCTGATAATTGATTGTGGCTCGAACCTTCAAGGGTTTCCACTTTTGTGATCTTAGTCGATTGCTTCGGCTGCTGCATCTCTCCACCTAGGGATCTGCTATTGCCGCCTTCCACGCTGATGTAGCGACTATTCTTGTCACCTGCTTCCACATGAACTTTGCCATCAATGGTTTTCACTAGATTCGGCAGCCCTTGAGCTGGCACAGTTTTACTTTCTGGATACTGTTCCAATATACAATATGTTATATATGTTATATATGTTTTCTTTAAGCTGATTTTTGGAACTTACATAAACAGGCGCCGAATTATTTTGATTGGTTGTGGCATATGAACCAGAGACTGTCTGAGGCTGACAACGTTTTCCATGCGAAGACTTCAACTGCACCTCATGATTCACAATGCTTACAGTCGAGGATTTAATCAGTGCACTAGGAAGATTGGGTGGAGCTATCGATGTATTCGAAACCAGTACAAGTTGTTGTTGCTGCTGCTGTTGCTGCTGTTGCTGCTGCTGCTGTTGCTGCTGTTGCTGCTGTTGCTGCGGCTGTTGCTGCTGCTTTGGTAATGTATTTTGAGGTCCTAAGCTTACGTTTTGCACAACGCAATCCCCTGAGGCTTGTGGTATTATTGTTGCATTGCAATTTTTATCAACCTTGAATGGTTAATACATCTATATAAATATCTGGATTGGTATATATTAACATATATAAAGAAACTGAAGGGCATGTATATGTAGCCTTATGCCACGACTATGACTTTTTAGATGAAGATAGCCTGAGTTGTTGAGTTTTTAGTATGTGTAATGTCGGTCTATTTGTCCATCATTGGATATATATATACCTTTTTATAAAGAGTTATGATCAACTTAATTAGAGACTTTCTATCTTTAAAAAGAGACTGGGAAATAAATAAATTCTCCATATTTGGGTGCACCTAGCGACAATATTACATTTTTAATTACTCTAGCTCAAATCGTCCAAGCAACAAAAGTACGGAATAGATTATTATCAATTTTAAATAAAAATTAGAAGAAAGAAGTCCTTAGTTCCCTTACTTACCAAGATCTCAAAAGTCTTAACAAAGATATGTATCTATGATCTTTAGTACAAACTTAATGCATTCCCAAACTGAGAACTCTTGATAGTAGGTAGTTAGCCAAACCCGTTAAAATCTCACTTGTTTCAGCCGCTTCGCTTGGACTGTATTAGTGGGAAAAGCTAGAACCTCCAAATTTTGTATTTAGTTTTATGTACATTTTATGCAATTTTGATTTTATTTTTTTATTCTTATTATTATTATTTTATTTTTTTGAATACTCGATAGAAACTACGTAAAATATTAAAAAAACTCAAAGAAGACTGGGATCAGGGTATCTTCTAGTCGGGCACCCCGACTAGAGCTTTCTTACTTGTTTTGGATTAGCAATTGCGGAATCTATTTTTAAATTCTGCGAAGCGGGAATCTGGCGTTTTGACAGCATTCAGCGACATGACAAACCCATGGAAAGAAGTTCGCCTCTATTCAGGTGGCAACCGCCGAATTATAAAACTGGCATTGGTTGCACTAGCTGTTTTCTTTTTGCCGTGATCAAATTCAGAAATAGAACGGGGCTTTAACCAGGTTAGCCTAGTAAAGCTAAGTAATAAGATTGCTCTGAGCACGCTGCCTATGTATAAGGTAAAGTTACTTTATGGCACGAATCCATCCTACGATAATGAAGCTCAAGCCGATCTTTCAGAGTAAGAAGGCCTTATAAAAATACAAGATGTACACGTATTTAATAAAATATTAAGTGAAACGCTAAAAAATGGATTTCTTCCTGCTTTTTGAGTAGTTATTCAGCTTCTTTCACTAGACTTTCTTTATAACTTATTTAGAGAATAATAACTACAACAAACCCTACTATTTGAAATATGTATTCTTATTTTAATTTTTGGGAGAATAACTCCATATCTGTGTATAAATCAGGACTGCGGATGAGTTATCGGAAAAAAACAAGTAAGACAGTTCTAGTCGAGAGTGCCCGACTAGGTGATACCATGGGTCCCAGCCGATCTGTGTTGCACCATACACACACGCACACACACTCAGATGTATGTACTTAGGCGTAGAAAAGTGAAGACATAAGTTTAACTTCTACTAATGTTACGTCTTTCGCATATTAGGCAAGTTATCAACTGATCTTCAATTCAGCGAATTTCCTTAGATATAAATAAAGAATGAAAGTTATATGAAATTTACATGAAGCTAAATGCAAGATTTGTAGAGTCCATTACGAAAGGCGTAGAGATACGATTTGATAACTGAAAGTCGATAACGTTTTTAATCAATCACACTGAAACAGTAAAAGTGAACGATTAAACTGCCGTGTTCATATAAGCGGTCAGACGAACAGGTCTAGATCGACTCTGCGCGTTATCCTGATTAACAATATATATTTTTTTGGGACCTTTATGGGACCTCGCCTCTTTCCGAATTCCTGAAATATATCACAGAGCTATTGTACCTCACATATAGGCAATAATAAATCTTAGAATGGGCGTAAATATATTCTGAGACGAATTCAGATTGACAAAAATATTGGGACTAGGTACAGTCTGAATCTTGGGTAATCCAAATTGTGTTCTATGAGCTTTTACCTTTTCCTTTATATGCAGAGGTTCTGTTGAGGCCATCTGAGCAGTGTCTATATCGTTTCTCTTGCGCACCTATAATATACACTCAGACGCATCATTTAGGTACTGTATATCTAAATACATCTTCAAAGACGCTTACATATTCTGTGCCACTGGCATTGGATGCAGCCACCGTCATTTGGGTCACATTTCCATGCATATACTCGTTTTTAGCTGGAGTTAAAGTTGCATTTGCCGATGCACTGATGTTGCCAACAGCGGCTGTATCTACTTTCTCCCAATCGTACGGGTCAGCTTCTTTAACGCCACGTCGCTTCATACACCGCTCGAATAGACCAATCAACATCTTTGATTTTCAATAAATCCATAGATTTAGAAGTATATATAGAAATTTATATAGATAAAGATATAGATATAGATATAGATTATATAGATAAAGATATAGATATAGATATAGATATAGATATAGATATAGATATAGATATAGATATAGATATATATAGATATAGATATAGATATAAATACCGATATAGATACAGAAACAGATACAGATATAGATATAGTTATATATATACACAAGCAAACCCCTCCCACTATTCGAGATCAACGATATTTCTTGAACATAAACATGTACCACTGCAGACAACTGCATTTTACAAAGGTTATTTATATATATATATATATATATATATATATATACTCGCTCATGAAGTGATGGGAGTATATTGCTTTTGAGCGATTTTCTTCTGGCTATCCATCTCAGATCCTATATATTTCTATCTATATCAAATCGAAGACGTTTGTTGAATCGTTGCCAACACGAGTAAATAGTAAAATATACTTATATAGTACATATATCTTCGCCCAATGTTGGACGTTGAAAATCGAGCAATGAGGTAGGCACGTAAGCTACTTTTGAGATCCCCCGTAGATCTACCAAAGAAGTCTATGTCTACGTTCGCTACAAGGTTACTATTTACGTTCTTTTATAATTTGAACGCCTTTGCTGCTCTTACACAAAAACACAATGTTGATATATCTACACATAGATAAAATCATTCAGTTATATAAATAGATTAAAATAAAATAGTGAAGTAGTAGTAGTATATATATATATATATATATATATATATAATATTGAATTGCATATAGTATTTAGTTGACTAACTAGCGCTTACCGCATAGTCCGGTCGATCAGCGTACGTGAGTGATTGTATGTGTTCCAGGAATTGCTTGAGGTCAGACGGTAGATGTTTTAATAATATTCTATGATCATATTTTTCCTTGGTCAATCCAACTTGTTCCTTGTCTTTGATCTTTCTCCATGGCAACTGCCCATTGACGAATTCAACGAGCATATAAAATAATGACCACAGATCGTCATGTCGACCCATTTCCCTATTGCGATGCGCATTTATCGATGCATAGCGCACAGTTCCACGAAATCCAGCCGCTGCTCGAGGACAGCGAACCTCGCCGGTGCCCGTCGTATATTGCCGAGCCAGCCCAAAGTCGAGCATATAGACGCGTCGGCAATTATAGGGCAAACGCCCCACAGAAAAGTTGCTCTGCAAAATATTCGAATAAGCAATATATATGGTAGATATAGTAGAAGCCAACTGCAAAATAGTCGTTCATAGTTCATAGCAACTTTATTCCATCAGATCTGCCAACCACGCCCACACCCCTTAAAATGTCAAAGTGTCAAGCATTGAGGAAGGTAGCTTCCCCAATGGATGTCAAACATTTGGGACTCTATCGCTACGCCTGCTAGCGATGTAGTTCGATCTGCAGAGAACTTGTACAGTGAAGGCCACAACTTGAGCACGTGAATCGATCGAAATTTTCAAACTGTGGGATATTGGGGCGTCGGAAGTCTCTCGATTGAACACATAAATACTAAAGCTCGTGAACGTACAGTTACAGTAGTAGAAGTATAGAATGATAGACCGTGGGCTTACCGGTTTGATGTCGCGATGTAGAAAGCCAACCGAATGTATGGATTCAATGGCTTTGAGGATCTGTAAGCCAAGCCGCAGGGTTGTACTGAGAGAAAAGGCGCCCCTTGGCTGGGCTCGTCTCAGTTCAGCTAAGTTTTTACCCTGGAGTTGCATGACCACATAGTTGAATCGATCATTTCGTCCACAGCCAATGAAGCGGCAAACGTGCTCCTTGCCCTGCAGCTTCTTCAGCACGGCTACCTCCATTTTGAGTACCTGTTTGGGTTGACGGGCGGACTCCACCTTAAGCGCAACTTGTTCGCGGGTAATAAGATCTTGGCCCTCATAAATCTCACCGAAACCGCCGCCACCAATTTTGCGCACAACCTAAAACGAAGAAGATGAAGAAGAAGAAGAAGCGAGTAGAGTAGGGAAGCTTGAATGGAAAAGGAATCCCGCTCGCCCTCTTTTAATCTTACCTTCCAGCGCTCCTTAACCACATGTCCTGGCTGCAAGAGATCCTCCGATGTCATTTTGTTCGCTTCCTTTGGCAATGCGACGTTGTTACTGCTTTCCAATTGAGGTGCTGTTGGAGCGGCTGGTTGTGGTACCTTAAAGGTGACGCGACTTCGTGCACCTAACCGATTGTGTTTCGCTGGCAATGTGGCAGATCTCTGCAGCGCATTTGCATACGGAAATTTACGATCTTCCGATGAGTCACCAACGGCTGCACCTCCGGTGCGAAGAGTTTGAAAAAATAACGCTGGCTCTAGCGTCGGCGGCGGCTTCGATGGGGGCGGTGGCTGCAATCGTTCTATATATTTGGGACTATCATCAATGTAGGTCCGCTGTGGATGCGCTTGGATTTCGTGTAGTCGTATGCCTTTAGCTTGAGCTTTATGGATCTTATGTGGATCAGCGACATTTTCGTCATTTCTAAAATAAAAAAAAAAAACAAAAAGCACGAAATGCAGTAGCGGCATCTATATTAAGTATCTATATTAAGGGTGAGAACTCAAAGTGTTACTGATAATTGTAATTTTCAGATGGAAAAACATCTCTTCACATTTACATCATGCATGTATATACATACATACATTTGCATAACTTTTCGCCTTTGAGGAGCTCAGATTAAAAAATAATGAAAAATTAAATTCAATGAAGAAGTAAACAAAATCGAGACATTTTTCGTAGTTCATCAAATTTACCTTAGTTATTTATTGAAAAGCCACATGACTGATTTGGAATCCCTTAGCAGCACACGTAATGCAAATATATATGTATATATATGCATAAAAATATATATATATGTGCCTTCACAGTTGAAAAAATGAAAAGTTATCGTATCACCTTAATGTCCTTTGCTAATTACACCCTAAACTCATTTAACATTGCTTAGATTCGCATAGAATTAAATTATTGAACATTGATTATTAACGGAGCTGCGCTTGCCATATTATTTAAATGCGAATAAAAAAACTCGTATTGATTGCAAAGCTCGGTAAGCTTTGTTCCTAAGCGAAGCTTTTTACTCAACAAAAACAACCAAAGGAAACGCGACAGAGAGAGAGCGAGACAGAACAATATGTATGTGTGTGTCTGAGCAATTGAAAATGACAGTTGCCAATGGTTACAACAAATTTGTAACCAGCTGCACCCTTATAACAGCGCGTGCGCCAGGACTAGCACACGCAGTGAGTGTTGTATCAACGAGCTATTGACTGATATTATATCAATAAGCTTTATACAGAGATTTTAATCGTCTCTTAACTAATAAGTAAATGGGAATAGGTTTGAAGTACAAAATGAAAATGTAAAAAATGTTTGTTAAAGAACACGCTGAATCTGAGGCATTTTCAAGTTAAATGCTAAGTTCAAGTTGATCAAGTTCTATGAAGCTTGCTTTTTGGTTAAAGTTCCAATCCCAGTCTTGAGTGCATTTACTTTACTCAAGGGTTGAAAGACTACAATTATTTCAACTAAAGACACCTGATTGATCTCTTTGCTTGCAATTCTCAACTGTTTATGGCTTGAAAGACGATGCTGATATGAGCCATAAAATTCATGCAGATTCATGATTGCTTTAGCTGATTAGATGGACACCTTAATATGACTTGAAGGTACTTACCTATGGCTTTCCTGTAAATGCATTTGTTGTTGTTATTTTTCTGTTTCTGTATTTTTTTGCTTCTTCAGTTCAGTTAGATGATGATAATATCACACAATGAAGTTCCAATTGATCAGCTGATTTATACCATACATACCAAATTATAAAAAATTAATAGATTATATCATTTCTGTGTTGTTTTCTGTTTTATCAAAGAGACGATATTTTTATTAAAAATAATTATGATTAATTATTTATGTATTTTATATATATTTGGTTTTTGTTGTTTCGTTTTCATTTTCTTTTTCGAATATTTGTTTATTTAATTTTATCACTAAACTAGGTAAGCATTGTGTGTGTGTATGAAGTAATCTATTTTTAAATGTATATATTTTGATCGTTTTAATTTTAGCGAGAGCGACGGAGAAAGAGGAAAAACATTAACCGAAAAATTCGTGGACGATATGAAGCACGTGTCAGAAAATCAAAAGCTAATCAAAAAATAAATATAATAAATTATAAATTCTCAATGTGAAACTCGAATGAGGCGTTGCAACGATCGGAGAATGTATTCAACTTGTTGTTTTTTAAGTTTCTATTTATACCAAAAAATGGTATTCTCTTTTGAAAATATATAAAAATCCATTTTAAACAGAGGCGAGAGTTGTTGACTCAATTCGTTTTTCACTTTTCCGATTTTCGCGGAGCTTTTCTCATACACATACGAGATTGTTCACTGAAAACTTTCGACTGAAACGTTTTCATACATCAGACCTGAACAAATCTTTTACGCCAACTCATATACAGACGTATTTTATACGTATCTCGTATAAAGGTGTAGGAGGCATATATACATATATATATTTATCTAAAAATATATAAATATATTATGAAAAATCATAGAAAATATAATAACATTTCTTTAGCAATTAAATATAAAAGCCAAATCTAAACAAACATCTAATGATATTGTATAATTCATGAGATACCTTATAGAGCTTTTCAGATATTACATATCAAAGACCCCAGGAAATCTGAATAGAAGAGCCATATTAAGTATAAGAATCAGTACAACCAGGTGTAAGCCAGTTGTCAGGAGTAGCAGAGCTAGGAAGAACGAAGAAACAATAAATTGGACCTGAAGTAGGATACGAGGTATAAGTATAAAATATATATATCAACTAAAGTATATATACTTTCGAGAAGAAATTATTTTATTTAAAATTTTAAATTCACTTGAAGACATATAATTTCAAATTTTAAATTAACAATCCAGTTGAAATGAAAATAATTGAAGAAACTTTTAAAACTTGAGCATTCCATTTGATGTAGCCCTTTCAGGGCTGAAAACTAAGAACTCTGATCCAGTGCTTCAAAGTGTTGAAGGTCCTCAGTTCATAATTCCACCAACATTCATATAAGAGTATTGTAATTATCAATTTAATAAATATATAACTTAAATTTAGATAAAGAATATGCTTCGGTAAAACGCTGTTTGATTTACAGTATTTAATTAAGTTTGTTTCACATGCTTGAAAATCCACACAGTTTCGTTAAGCACGCGATATTTAAGTTTATGTAGGTGTTTATGGACTCATTGATATATTTGGGATCAAAAGCTGACTGCTATAAAAATCAGAGCAGCAGCGTTGCATACAAATAAATCGATAGCGTAGTTATCGGCGCGCATACAAATTAAGTTAACTCATAAACTGCATTTTCGTATTATTTTTTATTATTGGAACTAATAAAAAAAGGATAAGAATTATGATATTCAATTAATTTTCTATGCTTACTAGATAGTCAAAAATTTTACTATAGGCTTGGATATGGATTGTATGCATAACCATTGAATATGTGATTTTAATTTGGTAAGTCGTTTCTTTGATTATGTAGACTTTGTTGGTGTCTTTTTCCAGTTCCCTTTTCGGCTGCGTTGGAAAATTCAAAATGACTTCTGCATGAAATATCAAATAGAAAAAAGGGTTAAAAAGTTTCGAATTCCAGCCACACAAAAGGCTCGACCCGATAATATTGATTGTGCATCGACTCGAATGGGGGTTACAAATGACACGTGGCTCACGACCAACAACTACAAACTCTACTGAAACTAGATAGATTATATGTGCACCAAATCAATATGGAAATAGAAAATAAAAAAGATCCATCAGCAGTTGTCACCCTTAAACAGTGTTCGAAAAATAACAAAAGATAAAACAAATTATAAATGGCAGTGTTCGCCGAGGAGATACCTTGTAGCCCAGATTGTTTTCGGCTCGGTTTTTCTTTATAAATATGCCTTCAATCAAATTTAATATTTACAACTAAATTTGATATTAATATATATATTTTTTAATATTTTTTATATATGTTTGAAATATATTGCTCAATTGCTTTTATATTTATATATATATACTCAAGACATTTTATTATCTATAAATCTTAATCTGATTATTTTAGAGACATAGAATTATACTTTTGAATAATTTTTACAATTTTAAAGATATTTATCAATAAATATAAATGTAAATATAAATATATACAAGTAACTATCTATATACATATATTGAGGTATTATTATAAATATATATTATTATATTTATATAATAATTATATTTTCTTAATATAGAAATAAATAACTTGTATGTTACACGAACATTAGTTTGTCAACTAAAACTAACTTTTATCTTCTATTTAGTAATACTGAAAATGTATATTTTTGAATTTATATAATTTTGAATTATGGATACTATTTTATTTTTATTTTTTTAATTTTTAAAATTTATAAACTTTTTCACATAACTTCAAGAGAATTTCTTGTCTGTGGATGAAATGAAGCGAATATTCTAACTATTCTATTCCAACTAGAATACCTCGTTAATTTCAAGGATCTTAACACCTGGCAAGGCCATCACGTTGACCTTCTTTATTGACCCATCTATTTTATATATACGCCTCTTTGAAGGCATGGCAAGTCGTTAATTGGTTAGCAATATATAGCTCTAAATCAGCATAGCATACAAAGCTATTGAATGTATCAGAGAAATACATTAAATATTGCTCTATACACGACCTGTTAGAGCGTAATCAAGCAGAAAGGGCTGTATGGGAGTACAAAAGGAAGGAAGATCAGATTCAGGAGGATCATCAAATGGCAAATCTTCAAATATAAGTAATCTGTTCGTCAATGGAGCTTTAATTAATCTAAATAGTTGTTTCTCTTTCGATTCGCTACACCTTCAATATTATCATATATAAGATATCTGACCACACCTCTCTCCAGCCTCTCAACTATTTACGTCCCAAAAACGGGAAGATAAATGTTCCGCTTTGTGTGTGTGTGTCTTGTGTGTGTATGTGGATGAAAGCATTTTCGCTTTTTGCAAAAAGCCAAAAAATCGATATTCCATAATTCAATGTTAGAATTTTAGATGCTAAAACTGCCAAGCACTTTTTTTATCCAATTTTTCACGGACTGACAAAAAAACGAAAAAAAAACTTGGGGGTGTCGTTTTATGGCACACACACAGAACACACAGAGCGACAGACCTAGATGACATTCGAATGAGCTACGAGCCGAACTACAGCACGAGTAACTGCGCTGTCGTAGGGTATTAAAAGGGCGCACATGCCAAGGCGGCTAGGCAGCAGCACACACGCACACAACAGCAGTAGAAACGAAAAAAAAAACGACTGAAAAAACAACCCCGACAAAAATTATAATGAAGTTGGTGGTGGGCAAAAAAGCAAGCAGAATGCGAGTTTCAAACGGGCCATGAGGATTCGAAGATTCGACGGGGAAGCGAGCAAATTTTGCCACCTTCTGGCACTGGGAACACCACCGGCACCACCGTCGCGTCGCGTCGCATCGCCACCCTACACACCATCAAAATTAAAAAAAAATGTATACATAAAAAACCGAGATCATCCACAATGATGAAAAAAAAGAAAAAGAAAAATAAAAAGGAAAATAACCCCAACCCCTGCACTTATGCCTGTATGTAAAAGCGTGCGTGTGTGTGCGTTTCTGCATAGGGGTTAATTTTTGTGGCTTTTCTTATTTCAGAACAGAGCGAAAACTCACAATATATTTCATATTTATTCATGTGTATATCATAAGAAGTTCAGATTCTCATATGCAAAACTCAGGCTCTTTTGTCTTTATGAAAAGCTGGAAATAAAAACAAATTACCTATATAGTTACCTAGACATACTTACAGTACCTGGGTATATGTAGGCACAGAGCGTCGTTTTCAGAATTTCATTACTTTGATTAGTAAACCACGAGGCTCCTAATTACAGGATATATGCCTATGTGCATTACTCTCTGCTCGCCCACTCCTACTTGTTATAGCCAGTAGTCGTTGGAAATATGTGTAGCAGGCAGCTAGAGGCTAGAGGCGTGGCAGAGCACATAAAGTATTGCATTATTGGTCAGGGCAAGGACATAACTTGATCTAGCCATAGCCGTATTTTCCTTTATAAGAACGTAAAGGATCAGTCAAAGCAAGAGCAAGAGCAAGAGACCCATTAAGCGCCTCTAAAGGGTACGGGGTACATATGGCAGATTACTTTGCCACCAATAGTATCAAGCATACGTAAAGTCTTCAAATCTTTGACTAGAATTAAGGATCGGACGGACATGTTTAGATAAAATATGGACGACCGATCGTCTGGGCTGGGCTGGGCTGGTCTGGAGTATTCATTTGAAAAGTAGGTTTTGTTGGTTGCTTATTGTGTTTTACCTGTTATGAATAGAAAGTGTTTTGGACAAAGGTAGTAGGATCTTATATCCTGTCATTGATTGTCATGCTGGAGGGAACTATGCTGAGCTTAATTGCAAAACATAATTCACAGAGATCTTATATGGCAGGAGTATAGTTTTCAATCTTCCTCGCGGAATCCTACAATCTACTTGTTGAGTGACAGTCGCCTCGGAATGAAGTTGACAGTTCGACTGGAATCCACATATAAACTAGGACTACTACTGAAGGCGATGGTGGTGTAAGGTGTGCCAGATGTGATGTGATTCGTCACAAATTGCAGAGAAAAGGAGACACCAAAGGAAGACTTCTGCATGCAATGGTCTCAGAGGCGAATAGTGGCTTACGAGGAAATCCTCTCACATTGTTACTATTATTACTATTATTATTTTGTTATTATTAGTGAGCAAACACTTCCAGCCTTTGTATACAGCTTCTAATTACAATTCTGTATTACAGGCGAAAAGTGAGAGAGTGATTAAAAATATGTTTAGATTCATTTCATGCATTCCGCAACATTTATTAATATTTATTAATATTTATGAACTGAAGGAAGCACATTTCCAAATTAGGACCCACCCTCAAGGCCCAAAGTTAAACTTTCTATTTAGTAAAGATTGCGCCAAATGGAAATATCCCGAATAGTCCTTTATTAACGCAATAAATAAAAACATATTTTGGTTTCGTTTGCCAACAACTTCTTACACTCAGAGAAAAGGTATATTAAGTATTTTAACATTAATTATTTTCTTGTATAATATTTTGGGTGTTTTATTAGGTTTCTGATTTTACACTGAGAGAAATATGTTCCAAGCAGAAACATTTTAAAACTCTTTGACATTTCATTAAAATTTTAAAAACTTCATTTTTGTTTCACATAAGGAAACTGTTCTGAATTGTCTAACGTTGCAAACGCTGAAAAATACACTTAGAGAAACATATATAAGATGTAAATAACAGTTTGAAATTATATAA